CACCACCACCACCACCACCACCACCACCACCACCACCACCACCACCACCACCACCAACTTGCTCTATCCATGTAATCATTCAGACGCCTGAATTTGTACTACTCTGCTCACCTCTAACAGTCATCACAACACACCTAGTTTGAGCTCTACAGTAAACGGTTGTGCCTCGTCCACTCTGGCCTTCTTACTTCGGCCGTAACCCAGGGTAGGATTGTGGTGGCCTGAGACTGAGCCCTAGCCTACAACCCTCCATTTAACTGCCCGTATCACCCCGAGAAGAGTGGAAGAGGTGGCGACAGAGAACACGTCCGTTTATTAGCGTCACGCCAGCCAAGTGTGTGTGTTAGTGTGTAGATGAGTGAATTGATGACAGGCATGTGATAGGAGCAACGTATGGAAAGAAGATGCGTCTGTCAAGGGCGGACTTGGTCGCAACGTGGATGAGGTCCGCTCTGTCAGCTAATAGCATAGTCGTGTGAGAATTTGGCGATCGAATACGGCTCGAGTCGACGTAGCGAGGAATGCCAGATTTCATTCGTTTAATGTGGCTGATATCTACATTTTCTAGTTATTTTTAAGCAATACGTAATAGCAGGAATTAGGGGGATGCGGTCGTGGTCTGGCGCTATGACTTCCGATTTGCATTAACGAACTCGTTCTATGGAACCGCATGTGCCAACTTGGAGCAGATGCTCCCTTAAGCATGGTGACGTCCTTACTTACTTGTTAAGTTATATTGGTGAATGACAAAGTCATTTGATTAATTGAGACAATCATGAAAATTGATTGTGCCTCCCACCAAACACGAATGCAACCATCTCGTTTAAAGTCGCTGACACACAACTGGCAAGACCAGCAGAAGATGCTGAAGAAATCCTTCTTGTCTAGCTGCAGTTACAAACAACGTCGAGACACAATTAAAAGGCGACAGCAAATAACCGAGCTACGGCGACGAGACACAAGCCTGTAAGTATCCATTCAGTCACCTCAAGACATTCAAATCATCCTAATGCACGTTTAGAAATAGTACCAAACAGCTTAGGCAATCGAATCAGGCACCTGTTGTGGGGCACTGCCACGGCAAAGCGTTGAACATTTTTGATCAAATCCGGTGCCCGGGTTAGAGTAATTGCCATCTGATCTGAAAAGCACTGCCTTATAGTCTTCTATCTACAGCTGCAAGCCGCAAACAATTCCCAGCCAACTAAGTGGGTCACAATCTGTGCACAAACAATCCGGATCTAGGGCTACGGCTTCCCATATGTTTTACAGTTCCTGGTGTTCTGGGACCAATAATTGGTGCCGATTTCCTGTCTCCGATTGGTCTCCTAGTAAATGTGACACATCGCAAGATCGTTGTCTGTACACAAAACTCAATATTTACGATGAAATTTTGATTCAGTCAATTCAACTAGACTTCGCTCTGCGTCACCCGAAATTAGGCGGCGCGAACTGCACTACACGGTGGCCCTGATGACCCACGAATGTATTTATATGGTGACAAAGGATCAGCTAACACGTACTAAGACCAGACGACGTGCACCTGATATACTAGGAGCAACTAAAGTATCGTTTCCGCATACTGGCCGTCTCGGCATAGTTCACCCTTCCACAATGCCTTCATCGGTCCCGTTACACTTGCGGATTGCATCAGTATGCCAGTTTGCCACTCCGAACATCGAGTCCGTTAGATGTGTCAACTGGAAGCTCTAAGCTGCCTTAGAGTATTGGTGTTTCGCAACTGCCAATGCGAGAGTTGCCCTCACCGATTTGATCTCACGACTGCGATGAAATCAGCGTCAAGTACCAATATGCGTGCACAACAGCCACATATGCTGACGGCTTTGACAGCCTCACGCAAATAAACTGTCGTCTGCTGTCGCCTCTCCTCTCCCTGTGCTGTCGTCGTGAAGGTTTGCTAACTAGCAGGTGGTAACTGCGACAAATCACGCTACTGACTCGTAATTTCCTTCCAACTTCCACAACCCTCTTTTCTGTCCACTGACCACCAGTAAACTAAACTATTGCTACCTTATTGAGGACCTGCTTGCGTGGACTAACAATCCGATTTCTTACGTCTTGCTGGATGACGAGAAATCAAGGTGGTCGGACAGTGTCTCCTCGTATTTCTTAATTACAATAGGAACGGCACAATTGGGAGACATTTTTCACGATCTCCATTACCAATTTAACACAGGGGAATTGCTGAAATTGTGTGCACACTGCGACGTGAGAAACAATCCATCATCACGCCACAACCCGCAAACGAATGAAGATGTGTGTATAGATGGCGCAGTGCTCATCAACGCACTAAAACCACATGACCACTCAATCCTCCAATGTGAATGATCTAAACTCCTAACACCCTACTCTTACGCAAATATTGCATTTCAGGGCTTCGGTACGCCACTACAGAAGATGCGGATATAGTAGAGATCTGCTGGTACAACCGCTGCTGGCGTGACTTGGGACGAAAGTGTCCAATTCCATTTGCGCGTTCCTTACAAACGAGTCCATTATGAAAAGTCACAAATTGTGATCTTTTCGACAGTAAGGTGCAAGCGAATCAAGCACACGCATTTCACAAACGCAATCAAAGTCCATGGTACGCAGCGACCAAATACCGACAAACTACCACAGTAATTCAAACACAAAGACACTTGGACACAAGAGAGCATTTAATGTACAGGTAAACCAACACATTGCACAAAATGCGACGGCAGTGCCTGGACGCAGTAACTTAGTCGATTGAGAGTACAGTCAAAAAAGCCAGTGCAGGGGCATCCCAGTCTGATAAAACAGCAATGTTTAAGGGGACAATATTAGCGAAGGACGGATGAGTAGATGGATTGAGAGGACGACCAGGCACCGATGAAAGGCTTGGCGAACGAATGCATGCGCGCACGTTTCAACGTCTAAAACGACCACGACCGGCATTTCGCGAGAATCCACGATTGCGTACTGGAGCGTCCACATATAAAGAGTTATCGTTGCGGCGTTCTTGCTGCGCCCGAATCAGGGCACGAGCCTGGGCTAGGTACTGCTGGTAGCGTTGCGACTGTATATTGTTACTTGTCTGAACGGTTAACCCAACCGCGTTTCTTCCACGAACTTGTACCTGACGGCCGAGTTCTACAAGGTATAGTTATGCAATTACCTTGTTCTAGATGAACGCAACAAATTTCAATGTGGACCACTTACGCCGATTGTTAAATTGGTTTCCGCGCCATGTCCTGGATCTGGCCGTCTGGGTGCGGGTAAACTGCTGTTGCTGGAAGTTGCCGTTAGTATTGTTAGTTCTTGTTGATTGACGGGTATTTGTAAACCTTATCTGTTGGGCCTGCTGCTGGCGTCGACTAATGGCTTCTTGGCGACGGCGTTGTCGCTGATAGATCTGCTGATTCACCGCCAAGATTCTTTGTCGAACAGCCAAATTGCGCATCCTGGGAGGCTGATTTCTGCCGCCGGCTACATAGGGGTTACGGAAGTGGTAAAGGTCTCCATATAGTTGGCAAGCAGCGAGAATATTGGTTTTGGGAGCAGGAGCGAGCCGAGCCCCTTCCTATCCTATCACCATACTGCCAGCAAGAGATGCCAAGACCGCGGTATGATTGGCCGAATTGGGTTAAGGCCCATGTTTAGTAAGATTTCAACACATTCGGCAATCTGCTCAGCCAAGGACTGAATAAATGTTGAGGAGAGTAACTTAAAGTCCACAATTAAGAGCCAATCTGATACTTGACGAAGATGCTGTGCCTCAGCCATACACGGCTCACAACGACACCACATTTAAACCGACAATTGTCAATCGGTGTCGTGAGTTCATATTGACGACAGAGGCGAGCAACGTCGAAGGAGCTGAAACAGCAGTTTGGCAACCAGAACACCGAGAATCGTTCCACACACCGTAGGGTCGCTGACATCGAAGGTAAACACGCGAATTGTTCAGCACCAACCACCGCCAGTTTTTGGCACAAGTTCTACCCGGTAACAATAAACGCAACGCCAGCAAATTCGACAAAGACTCGAACAAAAGGGCCACATCTGCATGTACACCTCCCCCGCTGCCTTCAACTGCGCGATTTTTTGGCGCAAATGCCAAGTTCCTTACAGATATTGATGGCGGTCAAATATGGTGTGAAGGCAGTACCCAGCCGCATGAATTTGTTCGACATCACGTCTACGATGCAACAAATTGCTTATTTAAAATATTTACACGACTCTGAGATTGCTATCCAATGCAGCTATAGGAGGCATCGACCAAACACTCCTGCCTGTGGAATACAAAAACACAAGGATTAACGCATAAAGATAATAACTAAGTCTTTAAAGACGTGATAAACCCGATTATTGAAGAAAATTGGGGGAGACATGCCTCCAATTCGGCGGTTGTTTCGACTAAGAACTCCAGACGGCGCGACCAACGCCGCAGCGTCCGCAGCAACCTTGGCTGCAATTGCGGCTGTCCGACGAGCTTTCTGGAAAATCGCGAGTGCAGCAGACGACTGACGCGATTTCATCGGTCTAGCGAGTGAAGCTCGAAGTCCAGCAGTTCGCTTCACTCCCAACCCACGTACACGAGCCCTGGGTTTTCCGGCACCTAGCTTTTGATTTTTTCTGTTGAGCTTGATAATTTCATCTAAATATGGGAATATTAGTGTGGAAATGGGGCATGGATACGATTGACACGACACCAAGTGAGTGTAAACACGCAACCGAAAACCTTAATTATACTTCGATACTCAAAAAGCAACCTTAAAACTAACAACACACGAAAACAAAAAGAATGAAACCCGTTAGTAAGCAAGACGAAGGAAAACATACCTAAGCTCATGTCAATTTTGCTATCTGACTCCATTTTCGCAAGACCAACAAAGAGAACGAATGCTAAGCAAAACTGGTCACAGGAGCTTTAATCGGGACGTATCACCCAATGATAAGTAGCTATTCTGCTGTGTAATGCTCGCGTTAAGTATGAGGGCCAAGAAAATGTCGGAAGAATTAAAACAATTTTTTTCATATTATCCCATCTGTTCATTTTCAGAAAAGGTTGAAAACTACCAATTATATTCTACAATAATTAAAAACATAAATTTACTGTGCAGATGTGGCTTTTCAATAGCCTAGTTTTGAGTTAAATTAACTACGTAGTAACATCACAAACCAAAGATAATATCATAAACTAATATAAGGATACGTATGAGAAATTTATTTCAACTAAGAGTTTTTTTTATGCAAGCATGTGACGTTTCTTGGTTTGTAAAAATTCCTAAATTATTTAGGACGTTTAATACGGCTTACTTTCGGAAATATGCTATCAAAAGTTAACTGCTTCGTACAATCTCCTCAGAAAACCACAAAACAATTATCATAACTACTGTAATTTTTTTCACTTTGTCAAGTATTTTTGGAAACTATGATAGCACTTTAAAAAAGTAAAGTTCATATTATTCTTATGGTTTTTAGTCTATTTATCTTTGACTCCCGACGTGGTCTAATTGGAAACAGTGTGATAAACACTGTCTCCACATGAAGAGGGTCTACTTTGTTTTTTATTACCTCAACCTCCACAAAAGTCGAGAAATTTTTCAAGCAGCAACGAAAAATTGCTTGCACTCCCATGCTTTTTTGTTACCTAAGTATTTAATAGGATAATGGAATTTGTAAGTCAACGAATTAACATGGTTTCATGTTTCAAACCAGGTGAGAGACGAACGTGCTTATTAACTTAGAGTGATTTCTTAGTGTACAAGGCATAGGTGACACAGATCATAGGCGTGAAAATGTTTGGCAGTTAATACATGCACGATAAATACCAATGGTTTCAGGCATGAAATAAAAAACTCAGAAATCTCATGAGATTGCCAATAATAGAATCAAACCAGGAAATCGCCGTGAATCTCGTTGCTTCAAACTCGCTAATCAAATCACTCCATTCTCCGAAAAATATTCCCCCTTTCCAGCATGTCGACACCCCTGCGGATCTTTTACTTCCCATTATTCGCATAAGCATTTATCTTGGATTATTCCCACTCGTAGGTCTTGATGTTAGCTCATCTACGGCTCACACTTCTGAGGTATAAATATATACGCGCAAACGCCACATACGACACAATGACATCAATATGGTTGGTCTCTTTCTTCATCGCGGGTAGCAGGGAAGCATAATCTGACTAGAATTTTTTCATTGGCCTCGACATGGTTCAGGTCCACATGCCGGGGCCCAGAACAAAGTATATCGACAGTTAAGCTTGTTCATCAAACGAAGTTATTAATTAAAAATAAACTCAGGCTTTACAAACCCACAAGCAGCTGCCTGCTGTGGCTAAACCATTGAAAAATTGCGAACACATGTGTATTTGTAGACTGATCGTTCAGTAATGCCGTCCGTATGACTTTCAGGCAAGAAAAGAGCGGTATCAGTGACTACAAGGCAAGTGGCATTGTTCAGGAAGAAGGGTGTTAGTGTTTCATATTCAGGGCTGCTGAAGGTTCCTCATGACGCTGGCACTCTGCCGGGCCAACTCGACGGCTGACATGCCGGCATAGGTGGTGTAGGGGGTCTTAGTAAGGAAAATGTTGGATTCCGTGGTGCACGTTGAATAGGGACTCTGTGGATCCTCAATGGGTGCGATAAATTCACTTGGAATGAAGCAGAAGACCTGCAAAAGTGCGATCAGTGTGTTCAGTCACTTTGTAAATAAGACAGCATATTTGAACAATGACTTACTTGATCATCAGCGCAGATCTTGAGATTTCTTGGTGGATTGGTAATGACCACACGGAAACCACGACGATCCAAACGGTAGATGCCAAGGCAGAGAATGCGCCAACACATCAGTGCGTGGGTGAACACGTCCTTGTAGTGGAGTGTGCGCTACAGAGATTGCAGGAAGCCTTTATTTATTCTACTTCTCAAGACCTCTAACCATGCAATATCAACAGATTGCTATTGGATGCTTTGCCAAGACATTACCCTAGCTGGTCGGGCGAAAAGTGTTCGAAAAGGCGGATCACACATCTTATGCAGAGCTACCCTCACTCCAGTTGTCCTTGTCGTGGAGTTCGGATGACCTCTTTGGAACCCTGTAAAAGCCGAAGGGCAAATGGAAATACAATTCAAAATTGCCTTTCCTTGCTAAACCACTCATTAAGAACGCCAGAAGTTACCGTTTCGTTGGAGATTCACCGATTCCAGATCTTCAACGGCTATTCCAAAGAGGAGAACACGCAGGAACCGAAAAACCGCCCCACTGAAATATAACTAGGCAACAGAGACAACAGGACAGTTTGTGAGTTTACAAAACATCAATTGGTATCATAAAGTCAATTTGACATGAATATCTGACCAATAGAAATTGACTGAACTAGCGCATCTTTTAAATTGGCTTATTTGTGTTAGCATCAAACTTACAGAACTGATGGAGCTGTAAAGAAGAGTATTGCTGAAGATTATTCCTCTAGCGAAGGATTCTTGAAAACGCAGAGGCAGCTTGAAATCTAGGTGATGCGATTCTGCTGAACTGAAGTGGTGAGCATTCTGTTCGTAGTCTATTGAGAAGGACAAATTGTTTTAATGAGGGAAATTTACCAAACACTGACGCCATTATGACTCTTTTTTATGTGTGACTTAGTGATTTGTGCACCAACCAGTAAGACTATAGCAAACCTCCTATTGGTTGTTAGAAAATTAACCTACGGAGTTCTGTTGTCATGTGGATAGGCGGGGTTGATTGCTCAATCAGTGAGCGAATGGTCATGGCACTGAATAGGGTGTTTTTGTCCCTCAAGCATTGGTCGATTTGATCCTCATTCGCTGATTCGCCGAGAATGGTACATGCTGAACAATGCTTCAGTCGAACAGCATGTAAATCATTCAGACTACACGGACTTCCCTAGAAGGATAAGCAAAAAATTAGACGAGAGTCAACCAAAAATGAAGATCCAAATGATGTTTGCTCACCTGAACAAGAAAGACGTGTGGTATGTTCTTGATCTTTGCCCATTCCTCCTCGGTAATGACACTTGTATCACCGAGGATGACAATGTCACGCACCTCCATCCAATGAAATCGCAGGGGCATGACAAAACTCTTCAGGTTCAGGCTCCCACCCGCTAGTGGACCGACGATGCAGAGCACGTAGTGTTCCTTGAAATGGTACTTCATGGCCTCAGTTGGGGTCTGAAATCAAAACCCTCGAGAATGCATGCATATACAATTTTTTTCGTTAAAATTTGTGTTAGTAAATTCAGCCAATTCGATTTCACCTGGGCGTCCAATAGCGTGCTAGAATGACTGGCCAATCGGATTCGCATGGTACCAAAATGATTTAAAACATGCTAGACAATGATTTCACGCCCCAAAAGACAATCAAGCGATCTAGGTATGTGAAACTCAGCTGAACACAAACCGCTGTTATTTTGTGATTCGAAAGCAAACTGAGCTAGAAAATATCAGTTCGACTTCTCAAATTTGGACTTGGCGAAATAATGAGCTTACCAATTTTACAGATTCGATTGGTATGTCAGGCACCCAATGAAAACAGCCCGTGCTGTCGACATACTTCGGATTGTACAGCCGATGTGGCGGCAGAAAGTAGTCGGTGGAATTTGACTTGGTAGAGTGCTGTCGAAAGAGGCCCCTCACCAGTTGACCACTTTTGATGCTCGTGAGCGTCTGGGCTGGTGCCACGGTGAACCGCGAGAAGGTTTCCGCCTTTGAATTGTGACTTTTCCCCACCGTAAACCCTCCAGTAAAACAGTTCACGGGAGATTCTGTGCCGCCGCCGCCTCCGCCGCCGCCTTCAAAATCGAAGCTGGCTGGCGTTTTTGACCCCGCAGTTGGACTTGCCTGTGCATCTTGGCCATCATTCAAAAAGTGCACTGATTGCTCTTCTCTAGATGAGGAATATGCATGATGGTTTATTGACCAATCAGAATGAACAAGAGTCAATCGACCAATCAGAAGACAGTATTTCGCCATAAGATTCTTTTTACACTTAACAGATTTCAAGGTTTTGCACCTAAAATTGCCGCTTTTTGAGGAATTACAATTACAACCTTTCACTTAAAGAGGCCATTAATTTATTTAGCTCACAACAAATCTTAAGATAACCTTAGGGACAGCTAACGTCGAAGTAATTACGCTGTCTTTCCAGAAAGTGTGAATTCTGGCCAAAACTCGCTGCTATTTCGATTTGTGAAACGGTTAACCATCAGACAACACTTACTCGTCTTCTGCAAGTCTGGACTCAGATTCGGCGTCACTAAATTTGCGTTCTTTTTCTAAAAGTCAACGAACATAACTTACTTCTTGCTAAATAGCTGGTCCAATAAGGACAATAAAGTCTTTCTTGCTAGATTTTTCGCAATGTTTAAGCGCCCGCGATAATTGGTTAAAGGGTTGGTATGCATGGTAGACACCTGTTTGCAGGATAGCTAAGGCTTCTCTAGATAGATGACTTTGAAATTTGTCAAAATCTTTTGAATCACGCAAAAACGTCGATATAACTGCCAAATAAACGCAAACAAAAACTATTTGAAATTAAGAGAATTGTTTTTGCATACCTTTTTTAAGTCCTGAAGCCTGAATGAAGAATTGAAGCCGAGTTGGACACTGGCATGTCGCTCCAGTTATGTGAGCCTTACACGTGGTGCAGTAATTTCGCATGCTACAAAGAAAAAACTTTAACCAGTAATCGATACCAAAAATCAATAATTTGATGCAACCGAAGATCGAATAATCGAAAATGAAATACCAAAATTTTTTTGTTGAAATTAGATCTGTCTTTTGTAAAAAACCTCACCGATTTACAACCGTGGAATTGGTTGCTATGACAATGGCCTTGGTTGTTAGGGCGTCGATCGATAAGTCGCGATAGCCTGCGGGATTGATTATAATGCACGGTTTCTCGGGTTCTGTGCAGTAAAGCGCACACAGCACAATGCCCCACTTCTCATAAGCGAATCTAAGCAAAATGACAAAATTATGCACGACTCTTAAAGCTTATACGTAATTGGCTGGAACGAAGGTTACTATGGTATTTGTGTAAAAGTGTTAATCGGGCGGCAATTACAGAGTGAAAATTTTGGTGCACCTAAGAAAAAACATTTGATTTGTGCCAGTTCATCAAGCTTAGACCATAATAGTTTACAAAAGATTTTAATGTCGAAGTAATTTTCAAGCATCCATTTGTAATCATCAACAAACAAATGCAGCGCCATTTTTAAAAACCGGAATTACTTTTTTGCCAGATCGATTGTTCGTCTGATCTCAACTCACAGTGTTAATTCTTGTGCGCTGAGGTTGTGAAATTCGTAACTCAGGCTAACATCGTAAATCTCCATGGATACACCGTACTCGTAATTCTGTCTCCACTTCTCTCTTTGCATCTGAAAAATAAAGTGAATGAAGCGTGGGCATTTGGTGTTAAATCTTTAGAAATAACCCGTTTTAATTGGTTTAGGCAATACACTCGGCCTGTTGCACTCTATATACCTGCCGAGCGAAATCGATTTTCTCGACTGTGGCACAAAAACCGAGAACTAACCTGCTTCCCTTGATTTTTGACCCGATGTCCGTTGAGGAGGTTAAGTATGATCGTGGAAAAGCCGGGAGCAAGACAATTCAGTGCCATAAGACCCAGTTTTAATTCGTCCATGCAGATGACCATGTCCTTGTTCCGACACGTCCATCGGGGGAAGTTGTGCAGAAGACACTAAAATTACACCAACAGTTGTTGAGTTGGATAAGTACACTTTACTTTAAAAAACCATTCAGCAGCATCTCACCTTATTTTTGAAGTGATGCAATTGGACCAGAACACGAATGCGTTGGCTGTGTGCCTTCAACGCGATTGCTTGCATGATGTTAGCGCCGTCTTCGTCGCTGCTCTTGCTGGAATTTGGCGTCGCGAGAACCAACGCACCCTGAGAGCTGCGCAAACAGATTCGGGCCAGATCCTGCGGATCTGCAGGCGTTCCCTGGTAGTACTTGACCCAGGCATTGTACTTCGTCAAGATGGCGCGCATCGCTAGGTCAATGGGTGAGCTACAACAAAGGCAACATCTGATTGGGTGGTTGGCGGAGAAGCACGATCCACGGCAAATTCCGAAGTAAAACACTTCTCCGCTTAAGGGCCCGCGTATAATTTGAGTTCAGCTCGATGCAAACAAAGATTTCAAGGTGAAATCCACGATTATGGATTTTCCATTGTCTTGCTTAATTGGCTAATTTTAAGTGCCGATTATGAATGACTGATGCCATGGTCACAAAAGCACCAACAAAATTGCGCACAAAAAAAAACCACAGCGATGATTTAAACAAAATATACTAAGACGCATGGGCCATCGGTGGATGCCTCGATTTTACGTGTAAACTTGTCGAGATTTATTTTTAAATGTGGTGTAAACGCTGGCGCCACCGTGACGGATTTTAATCATCGTTACAATTTACCGAACACCAGGTTTGTGTGTGCATATTTGTACTGCGTTGATAATGTTAGACGGGGAACAGCTGCGACACAACAAGTTAGTAAAACAGTAGATAAATGCACTAAAGCAAACAAAATCAGCATTTCTAGCCTCACGATTCCATAAAGCACTATGAGCAAACGAAATTTGATAATTAACTCCTAATTTAGTGTATATTACTGATCGTTTCTGTGAAAATGTAACTTTGCTTGATACCTATAACATTACCACACCTATTACCAACATTTAACATCTATGAGTCAATTGACATCCTATTGGTCAGCTCTTAAACCAATGAGAGGTGGAGGTCAAGTTTGAATGATATGGCTAATGGATAGTCGTCTTACACTCTGAGAATGACCATGTTGACGAGCCGACGACGTGACGCGTGTTCGATGTGGAAGAAGCCCCGAAGAACTGCGTTGAGGCTGAAGTTGTTGAAGTTCCCGCAAACGACAACGTGTCTGAAAAAAACAATCGTGCTTATTTCGTGGGCATCGCTTAAAATGCGGTGTTTTAACGCATTTTGAAGGAATTCTGTCAACGTTAGTGGCTATTTTGTCTTGGCGGTTTGTTGGCAACAAATTTGGTGGATTCTGTATTAAACTGCACACAAGATAACATAGGATTAGTTTAATGATAGATACAAAAAGATGAAGTCACCTACGATGCTGATAATGATGACAGGAAATCGTGTTTGTTTAAGCTCAAAGAATGCACAATTTATGACGTTGTTTGAATAAATTGGAAATCTGCATCAGATTTGAAGTGGATGTTTGGTATCAAAACAAGTATGTTCTTATTTCCTTCTCGAAAAGCAAAATGAGTCTTTTGCCTAGTCCCTACTGATTGAATTTGACGAAAATCGTAGTAGTGAGTAGACAGAACAAGGACTCTATAACCGCGGCACCAAAAAACCACCCAGTTAAACAAAAAATGTTTATGATCCACAAGATGTGTTTTGACGAACCATAAATGTCGCAGGGTACAAAGTCTGCGTATAAAATTTGTCCACGAACACAGCCACACAGTGGTGGTAGGTGGATGACTCTTTTGAAATACTTTCGCACCACTAACACTTGTCTGTAGAGGCAGTAACGCTGATTGTCCCAGTGGCATTCAGCAACTTTTCAAATGCAGCCTGTCCTATTCGTGACTTCATAATTAAAATCAACCAATCCGAAGTTTTCGTGCGTGCACGAACAACACTGCCTGTCAATAATTTTAATTGGCGCATTGATTTCGAAGCAAAAAGATGGTGGTCGCGACAAAAGATGACAACTTTCGTGATTTTGATAATTTTTAAAATCTCCAACAGAACGTTTCGGCCTGATTAAAATGTCACAGAACAAAAAATATTGTCATGTGCACTTACTGGTGTCCAGCTAGAGCCTGGTAAGATTCCGTCTTTGCACGCCTTGACGACAAATTTCGGAATATTTCTGGCACGAAAACTGCAAAAATGCCCTAAAGGAAAATTGCTTAGTAAACGTTTCGTGCTTTAATAAAACAGCTCGAAAAAAAATAATAAAAGCAATCCACCTCTCAATTAAATCGATTTTCCGATCTCTATGTTTAATTTTTGTCTATTTTCAGTGGGGCTTGAATACCACGGAAAACATACATGATTGTGATTGGTTGATTTGAAATTTTTTATTTTAACTCTTAGCTATTGGTCAGTCATGTTAAATCAGGGTAACGGATGCCTTTCATTAAAACAGAAAAGAAGTGGCGCGTAGCTCATGACCCATTAAACAACAGACAATTTGATGATTGTTTCCATTAGGAGAAGGCAAATTAAACCGAAATCTCGTTGTCAGTTAGCGTGGCCCGAAAACATTTTTTAGCACATTGTCAACAACTGGGGCAGTAATTTTGTAAAACGTGCCCATTTTTGGATTTCGGCAAAATGTACACCTGTAGCCAGACATACCATTGCGACAGGGATGAACACACAAATGTACAGCCGGCCAAGTATGGTCACGGGGTAGAAATCACCAAACCCCACGGTTGACATGGTAACCATGAGGAAGTAACAGCAGTCCAGATAACTCCAACTTAATGCTTTGTGGTCCGGCTTCCAGAAATCGCCGATATGCACGATCTAAATAAGAGTTGTTGGAAAAGTTTAGATTTATTCTCGATTTTAAACTCTTTTGTTCATTGCCGTTGATCCAGGGGAATGGTGACTTCGGGGTACCACTAGCTCCACGCCTATTGGCTGATGATTGTCATGATCTTATAATGAAAAACTTTCATAACTATAGAATTCCATTTAAATGGAGACGTCACTTATTAATAAATATGCAAATTAAACAGATAGAAGATATTTTACTATCAGAGAATCTGCACTAATGATGTAAAGTTGGTGGGTGTTTAAGTGGAGCGTGAAGTGAACTTACTAAGTGAATTAATCCACCTGCCAGCATCCACATTGCAAACATTGTGAAGAATATGTCGACGGTTTGAATGACATGATTGGACGATAAGATACCCAGGTAACTCAGCACTTCACCGAAGTTGAAAATGTTCAGCGCTCGCAGAAATCCAAGATCTAGACACGAAGTAATTATTTTCAAGTGAAGTGTGCATTATCGAGCGACTAGATGCCTTACTCTTGATGTCAAATATGTAAATGTTTAATGGAACGTCAAGGCCCACAAGGAATTCATTAGTCAACCCAAATACATTTGGGATTTTAACCACTTTAATCGCTGATCTTTAGCCCAGAGTGTGTTAAAATGTCAAATTCTTGTGATATCTGAAAAGTAAACAATCTTATGTATCTGCGTCAAGCTTGTTTGGTTATCATGCGATCGTTATGTACGTGAAATTTAAAACACTGCCTATTCCTCGCGTATACTGTAGACACATTAAGGCGTCAACGAATCCCGTGACTACGTCATTGTAAACCAGCGTTGTTTTATATTTCCCACGACAAAGCGAAATGACTTGAAAACTTCGAATCATTAAGAGTTAGGCGAAGGCATGAAATTTTTTTGAATATGTGTTTATTTTTTTGAAATCCGATGATCAGCAGAAAAGCAACTTATGTAACGACCAATAGAATCGCACCATTTGTCAGTCTCGTGACGAGGACCTATAATCGATAAGCAGGGATTCAAATACCACACGTCACTTTTTAAGCGCCAGTAATTGGATGACACCTTGTTTTGGTGCCTGCCTATTTGTTAATCGCTTTGGTAGAGGGGCCAGAAAGTTCTCAAGTTAGCAAAACGTACCGAGGTGATATCTTGGTTGGAAGGCAGCAACAAAGGCACCGCATATTGTGATCACGTCGATTATCGAGGTGATCTTGAAGAGGAATTTGTGCTTTTCCACAGCTGCACCTAGCTGAAAGCAGAAGTTTTCAAGCATGTCAGTTCTGCTCATTCTTGGAATTCATCATTTTGCCAAAACTAGTCAAACATAAACCAAAACCCTAGACTTAGAAAGTCAAAAGTCTCTCGAAAATGGCACTGCCTGCATCATTCTCCTCTCATAATTCTGGCTATTCGACACATGTTCAGCGATATGCTTGTTTGGTAATTTCCGGTGTACACAGCCGGCGTGCAATCACTACGTTGCCGGAAACTGCTTTTACTTTAGTTCTTAATGAAGATGGCGCCAAAATCGTACCGGTTACACCTAGCTGCTGTATGTGTTACGTTAACGTTAAATTTGCGTTATAAACACACTGGTTAGACATATTAACATAAAGAATGCGGTGTAATTAATTGGAGTGCTTTCACTTATCTAGGCTGCTAGCGACAAACAAATAGGGTGCAAATAGATAGGAGCATTTACGTGGGAATTTAAATTTTCCGGCCGTGAGCAGGACCGATATAAACAAACAAGGCTTGGATTCCTTGCTATTAGTGGTTGGAATTTAGCTAACGCATTGTAGTTGAAACTCACTCGAAGAATGAAATAGACAAGGAAGTATGAGTGGATGACTAGATCACTGTAGTTCAAGATTTTCAGTCCAGGCGTCAAACAGAGACCCTCGATAACCAATGGTGGTCGACCTTGAAGTAGCCTATTAGCATGAAGTGTATAATGATCAGGTTCACTTTAAGTATGAAGAACATATTCCGAAACGCTCGACTTACTCAATGACTTCGGGCAAGGTTTCAATCATGTAGAGGCTAAATAGAACAAACAATATTCATTGATCTGATCGTTTAATTTAAATCAATTCGTGAGTCATATGGACATTATCACGTTGTAAACTCACTAAATAGTGCCAATTATGTAGATCACCCAACTTATTGTGCACAGAAGGACGTAGACTACAAGCTAAAATTCAAAGACAGATCCTTAGTGCACGAAATTATTAATTTGGCAAACCTGGGAATGAACCAATCAGGATCAAGCCCAACAAAAGAGCAAACTCAACCCTAAAATATGAACCAATCAGAGGTTGAACATATACAAGTTTAAACAATTTTTTTTTAAAACAAACCAATCTCCATCCTGTAAAGCGCTGGGTGTCGCAAATAACCAACCAATAAACGTGTGTCGAAACTCATGGTTAAAAACATAGATGTTTGCAATACTCTGAATCAAAAATTGCAATGTACTGGAGTATAATTACCTCGCCATGTATTGTTATAGTGCCGAATTATACTGAAGCTAGTGAATGGTAGATCTGCAACTAATGATCAAGATTTCCTCAAATCACACTGGACTGTGAATTTTCCTAGCATATAACCAAGGATGCTCTGATAGGTTGTCATGACCTTGAGCTAGCAGATATATCGATCGGTAACATTACCATGAAGCGCCCCGTTGGGTAGGAAACCGACGTCATTTTTTCGCAGTAGATCCGAATTCTTAAACCAATTTGTCCACGTCCGCCCGTGAGACACTCGGACAGCCTCAAACGATGGTGACCTTCAGTTTTGTGGTACCGACAGAGGGGCTTGAATTTCTCAGTTACTCCGCGATGCTTGCCCGCAGTCTCTTCCGCGATGCTAGTCGTTGTCTCCTGCGTCCCCGTCGTGCCGCTCTCCTTGGCATTCGATCTTTTCCCGTCACTAACGTCGTTCAGCTCTGTTTGCATGGGCAGTTGCGTTGACAAGTCGAAATTCACCATTGGACTTGTCAGTGCGTAGTCGTAGAAGACATTTAATTGACTGTCCTCCAGCCACTGACTCGACTTCTGCTGGAACCGAAGTGCAGCGGAGTCGTCGTCGTTGAATTCAAATTCGTGCTCTGTGTCGGTGTAGGGATTCTGATCAACACCACCGAAGATGCTAGGATAGGCGTGGTTCACCGATTCATGTCGCGGAGTAAATCTCTTCCAGACGTGTCGGACGAAGAGGAGAATGATGTTGGCAAGGTAGATTCCCCCGCTTAGAGCCAGAGGGAACCACCATGCTAGCGTGGAACTGGGACAGTCGAAGATCCAGTGGGGACGTGGCGGTTCTGTTGGGACGAGATTGGTCACTGGAGGGGGAGAGGAGGGCAGTGGCACCGTTGTCGCGTTCGACATGTGCAACTGGGCGGCTATCAGGTTCTCTTTCTCGCTCCAACTCTCTCGCTCTCTCGCTCTCTCTCTGTGCACGCACGAGTCTGCGTGCACACAACAGCGAGCGGACTTAGGCTGACTGGCCAACCAAATCACGCGGCTGGTTTGGTACCTGTCGTGTGCGCTCGAATTGGGCTTTCAGTTAGGTCTATCAGTCATCGGCGTCTTCTGAACAAACAGATTCCGATTGTTTATTTGCTGAAAAACCAAATACCTCTCTAAACACACACACACAAAGGTGATTTGTGCAGGTTGCATTGCTTTAAACCACAAAGCTAATCAATTGCCATTTTTAAAATGCACAGATTACAAACCAGCCACTTTTAATTAGCCATGGTTACCGGGCTTCGCGTCATTCGGTTGAATTCGCCTGCACCCACTGTGTTTTAATACCTGAAAGTGGGGTATACTAGTGTGATTTTTACTCAGAAGGGGTACACACGATGCATATGCCTATGAAAAGGAGTAGAAAAAGCATCCTCATCAGCGGAAAATGAGGATGAATGTTATGCATTCGTAGAAAAGTGTTTCATTTAAGCTACAAGGAGTATTTGAGAATGACTGGTCATTTTAACATTTGAAATATAAACAACCATGGCACAACACTGGGTTTGGAAAAGCCGCCATCAACACAGCAATGAATCATCAGGATTAATGGCGACAATTTTAACGCAAGTGACGAGAAATTTACCACCCTCCAACGAGGAGAACTCATGATTCCCCCATTATGCCCACGTTATACCCACATTTCACGCTAATTTGCAGACGAGTTATTGAGTATCTTCTATCTGTTCACATTTTTTATGCTTGTTAAATTTCACCTTGTCCAGAGCAGGCTGCGAACGCGAAGAGGTGTAACCCGCTGTGGATGGTACCACGTCGGCTGATTCATACTGGCCACCTCGTGCTCTCATCCCATTGGCCCACTCCCACTTTGAGTGAGCTGTTTGTTTTAGTGGCTGACACGCGAGCCAATCACACATGCAAATGAGTGTTTTGCACGTGTTTCAAAACGAATTGGCTCTGGGCATTTTTTTAGTAATTTTACTACACACGCTTATTTGCATCGTTGCCCAAATTAACTTGCATTCTAGGCGCTTTAGTCCGCTATCAGCGGACGCCAATGTGTGAAAGCTTCACCTAACGGGTTTACCACAAATAGCCCCACTCTCACTTTTATTTGATTGCCGTTTACAAGAGTGATTCCCCCAGAAACAACTAATAAAAGCCACCTCAAATCCTAGGATCTCCTACTTCAAGCCACAAGTAACGGATCCGTTGCTGAGGACAATCATAAGTTGCTCACCTTACATTTGGACCTGAGGCGACTGTTCAAACTTATTTGTACAGTAGCTGATGCTCAGTGATCAGTTGGCAGTTCAATCTTGTTGACACAACTACTAATCTTTCTGACACAGCCTAATGCAAACCCTCTGACCAAGTCACACCCTGTTGCGACAGAAAGTCCCCCAAAAACATCCAGTGTTAGACGTCTTGATCTGACTAACTCGTAGCAACTAACACAGGATCTAACCACATGTACCGCCCTGTCGTAACTCAACCTACCGACAGCTCTGATGCAGCCCTAATAAGTCCGGTAACTAAAGACCCTGTGGTAATTACAGAGCCCACTATAATGTCAAAGTTCCCGACCGACACCTCTTTCCACAGATCCGGGACTCTTGCTTCGGTTTGGACTTTGCCAAGGTCTTCTCAAGACTAGACCATATCAGAACTTATCATCAGATACCTGTGACCTCCAAAGACCCTTAAAAATCTTTTCGTGAAGCACAGTGTTGAGTTTTGTGCAGATTATATCAGATCCCTTCCTGGGAAGGTAGCAACAATTTGGCGTTTCCGCTGCCAAAATCACACTGTACACTGCGTCGTTTTCTTAGCTAAATCAACTACTACGCACGGCTTATTCCACGGGTTGATTGAAAAGGCAATTGAAGCAGCGCTTTTAATTGTAAATAATGCTATAACTAGTCCAGCTTTAAAGGGATGCAAAACGTACACGAAAGAGTGCTGTTAATGCACTTTAACGACACAAACCTGACGTCATATCAGTATTTTTTTCCGGAAACTCCAGCTGACTTCGTCATACATAAATATTAACGTTTCGCCTTGACGTGGCACAACTTCGCCATGAACGGTGCCGATTATAAACCCCTTATTTATGCTGTTCAGGCATCAACTGACCATTATTTCCGTCGCTATTTGAGGGATCTTGACAATGCTTTAAACAAACCTCATTTAACTTTTTAAACCTCTGATCGCCGTGCAAAATTCTCATCCTGTCTGCTTTAGTATTTTGACCACGTTCTTCAATGCAGACGTTTTGGTACACATCGAATGGCTTGGTTGAGCGTTTTCACCGTCAAGTAAAACCATCCATTTTGGTAAAATCGCCACCTACAAACTGTTTCGAAGCTCTACTTTTGACAGCGTTGACTGTCTGGAAAACCGTAAGGGAAGACATTAGCTCCACTTCAGCGGAATTTGGTATCGGTCCAGTAACGTGGCCACAACTGCCCGCAACAATGTCAAAATCTCTTATTCATCGTGCGTCGATTAGTTGAAGTAATTCAGGAAAAATAAAACTTGGCACATCCTAGCAAGCATTTATCATTCACTTCTCCACAGATTGTGACGAGAAGAGCTGATACCTCATAAATCGTGATATCGAATCCCTGTTTAAAATGATGAGGTTAAAAGTATCGTAACCAACGATTTTTGGAAAGCATCTATTTGGTATTTACCATTTTCAGGGTTCATTTTAAAGCATTTGGCTACAATGCTGACAAACGGTGCATGATTATGACAGATTCATCACAATTAAAGTCAAAATCTAAAAGAGCTCTCACTTCCACTTTGTTCCACGAAAACTTTGGGATCTGTCAGTTAGCAGACCCCTGCTCTGTGTTTCCGCAAAATGTGAGTAGCATTAATAACTTTCACACCGTAGCCTTTGTGCCACTGTGCTCTTGATAATGTAAGATTTTGTTTGTCCAGGAATTCACATAATTTACATTAAATGTCATCGCAGAGGCGTTCACGAGTACAATATATCGTAACCAAGGAAGTTTCCTGCCAGACGAGCCTTTCCTGCAAGTAAGTACAGATTTTTTGGACCTCTTTGCTGTTTCCTAGACCTGTTTGCCTGCTGACTTTACGGGGATCGACTAGCGTCAGTGTGACCGGAACTGCTGCCCGCGTATTTGTGGAATCGTGTCACCTGTTCACTTCGCCTTGATCTCGATGTATATTTTACACCTCGCTGATGTTGTTGACCATTATCAAAACCATAGAAGAAGTCATCAAATCTCCCCCAATAGATTTGTTCCGTGACCTCTGCGGTGTAAAATGAATATTATATCTGAGAGCAATGTCAAAATCCATGCTTCTGATATGTCGAGTAGATAAGGATTTCGTGGAAGAATTTTGATCTACCAGTCTTAGAGCCGGATTCGATCACATTCACCTACGTCAGTATTCGTATCGATTTCCTCAAGACGCATTTACAACTAACCTACGATGTATATAAAAAAGTTGCACGTAATGCTGAAAGTTTTTTATTTTATGTCTAAACGAATTTCAGCATAGATTGACTTCCTTGAAATTATAATTTTTTTTTCAGATTCCAAAAGACTTGCACTTCTAGTGCTTCACATTCTGTCAACACAAGAGAGCGCTGGTTCTTTTGCTGGTTTGGCCATCGCCGCCAGAATCACTTGTTTTCTGTGTTGGACGCCTGATAGTGTGGCTTATCTGAGCGGTTTCACGCAGGTTGCCTGGAATTCGCTACTCGGCCATTTTTCAATGATCCATAAATACCATCATGCAACTACAGACAAGGGTATAATTAAATAGTGTATTAGCTAATAAACAGTCCTATCATTCGTTCCCAGTCTACTCAATTCACGGGTCGTTAAGGTCCAATAAGTAGCTCGGATAAAAAATAAAGCAAGCAAGATTATAGATTTCCTTACGAATTAAACACAATAATAAAAATATGTAAAGAATATAACAAGCCCATTTGTGAAGTGGGTTGTGTATACAAATGAAAAGTCTAAGGCTTTCGTGCTGTTCAAGAAATAGTGCACAAAGTACATGCATATTTAATGTTTTTTGAGCCAAATATGTGAAGTAACAGCTATTTTAGTTGGTGGTGGTACCAATTTAAGTAATAATACCACCGAATCAGGAACACCAAGTGCTTAATTTAGGTAAATTTACTAGTCTATACATTAATAATTAATCGAAATCTAGAAAAATATTACTTAACCAATGAGTATTATTGACGTTGACAATAATGTTCGAGCAAATTAAGTTTTCAATTTAAAAACAAATGTTTGGTACACACATTTAAAACAAATCAACCCTGAAACCGCATATTACGCATCGTGACATAGTTAACTATTTGGTGAAAAAAGCTAACCCCAATAAATAACCAGATAAAATGACAAAAGGTTTGCTTTGTTATTTTTTGCACGTTGCAAACTGCTTAAATATTTTGGTAAAGTACATAACTTTGTTATACTGTGTAACAATTGCTGTATTAACCTGCGGTAAATTTTTAAACCAAGGTCATTTCATTGAATTCGCTGCAAAATTTTTACTAAATAACCATTTAAAATAGTGCGTTCTCTGCTAATTCGTTTGAATTTTGTTGCGTAACATTGAATAAATCCCTTACAAATTTTTGACTTTAATTAACTTTAGTGTGTGTGCTGATTTTTGTCAAAATTTAATGTTGCATTTTATTGCTCCACTTGCCAATGATAGCCACTATATAATTAAACAGTTACAACGTATCAGTATCTGTAATGATACGTTTGCTAAGCTATTTCTTTCTTCTTATGATATATGGCTTCGAGATTCCATTTCCGCAAATATTATCTTTTACAAGGAATGAGTATGTAGCTTTTACAAAACTTCCAGTTAAATTAAAGTGTTAGTGACCTAATTGTGTTTAGAACGTCGAGTTTGTTTATTTAAAAGTGCTTAATCATATGAAGAATGCAATAATAACATTAAATCGGTATATCTTTGCATTCGTGGCTTTTCGTTTTCGACTTATCTACCTTTGCGAAAACAAATTACCTTTTATAACATCTCCCGCATAGGTTTTGAAATCTCATTGTATTGAGTGGTACAGGATGCAAACATAGATACGTTTATTTGATTTGGTCAAAGTTATCACATTTTACGACAACTTGATTGATTTTAATTACAATCAGTCATAATAATACGGACATACGCTCGATTTCTCACCAATATTTAGACTCCATCTTGTAACTTTCGCTTGAATGTTTACGTGCCTTTTAATATTGAACAGGTTTATAACAGTTTCTCAACTATTTGATAATCTACATAGAATGTTTACACGTGATTGGAATTGGGTGCCTTCACTTTTGTACACTTTTGCAAAAATGACATAGCCGCGAGATATTATGAAATACTAAAAATTTCGATAACTTCTTTTTTCCTATCATCGAACGTGTCTTATTTCAGTAAGCACGGTTTCTCGTGCATGGAAGGTCAGAGATGAACATCGCCAAATGCTGATGTCAACTTGATGTCAACGCGTTCTCACTTCCCTCCAATCAGACGCATATCACTTTGTCTGCCACCTCAGGGTCCTTCGACAGCCATGTCATCACCCCGCAACGTCTACGTCCGTGGCAGGGGCTCATTTACGAGTGGAATTTCTCCAAACCCCGGCAAACCACCTCACGTGATTTTACCGGTTACTCCGACCCCACCACCTTTGCCACCACCGCCGCCGAATCCGCAACTCAAGCCACGCTCTCACTCCCAGCAATGGACCTCGTCGAGGTCGTTTGGCAACAAACTACCTGGTAGGTCTTGTGGACGTTCGTTTTTCTTCAATTCCATCGAAAGTTTGACTTTCTTGATTTCTACAAACACCACGCGGGAGGTGCATTTAAAGAGTGACCTCATCAGTCCTTAAAGGAACCTATTATAGCGCCCTATTTTGGATTTTCACATTCAAAATGACTCGTGGTTGTCCTTCGCAACACCAATGTCTATGTTTTAGGCCTCTTTCTGACTAACAAATGAAAAACGGGTTGTCCGGGAACCACTTCACACAAATCTTCGACATGACGCTGACTAAATTAAAGCCCAAAATGCACAGTTATGTAGGTCTATTGCAGCTTCTCTTGTTCCCACTTGTGATCTGAATGCGATAATGTGTCTGTCTAGATTCGATTGCAAGAAATTAGTTGACCTTTTTGGGATTGCAATTCGACTGCCAGGAACGGCTGGCGAATCGATTCATCAAAGTGTCGTGAATCTTTGAAGTGATTCTTCTGTGGTGTGTTGAAGCGAAAAAAAGGATTTTCGGTTGTAATAAAAGTTTGGTTTGTGCGTTCCAGGCTAAATTTTGCCAACTAATGCCGGGAAAAATCTGATCCGACTGAGGTTCATTTTTTTACATTTTCAAATAATTTTTTGCAGCATTACGACACATTAATGGCACACTCCTTACACTAAAGGCACCTTTATAAAGACGAAAAATCACGGCTGCAATAGGGGTAATTGTGGTAAGCATTTGAAGGTTTTAAGTTTAAGGTATAATGAATAAATGCAGTTTTTTTATGCGGCAAGATTTACTACTACTTGTACTTTTGGGTGATTTTTTTTCAAATTAGGCGTTATTTTGTATCGGTTAGTATTAAATGCGTTCCGAAGGGGTTTTAAGTTTACCAACTGGAAAGTTGGCAAGATTTATTGTACAGTTTGCAAACTCGGAAAAAGGAGATCCTTCCACAAAAACGACCTAATTTTTTGATTTTCATTTTTACTTACTTTTTTATTCCTGCATTTATGACTTTAGTAAAAATTCTGAGACACATGGTTACTAAGACATAATATGAATAATTTAAAATCACAAATGCCTAGATAATCTCGAGTTGACTGACATTTCTTGCGTAGAATTAATGAGGTGCGTAACAACCGGTACTACTCAAGACCGCATTTAAGTAGTATTTCGAGAAGCTAGAATATTTCTGTTCCGCCAATTCTGGGCTTCGGTCAAAAGAAAAGGAACGATCAGAATAATATTCTTATTGGCCGCTCCAAAAGCTATTCCACAATCCGTAATGTCTACTAACTGCATTTGTGAGTAGTAGTGACAGCGCTTCCACAGAAAACTCTTATTCTTTTCAAAAAGTGATTGCAGTAATACATTTTTTACAAAATCTGGACTTGGTTACGAGTTGGAATCGCCACATATTTCCATTTCCCTTAATAGGCGCGAAAGTTAAATCTCTTTGACAGAATTTATCCCCGTAGATGCGAGATTTGATTGGATTGTGGTAATCCTTTGTGATAAAACAATCATGTGCATTTAGTTCATCGTCAGTTTAAACACTGAATGCAAATGTTGGCATTTTAACATATGTTAAGAGATTGCGTTGATTACCTGGCAGGTTTCACGGGTATGAGTTAATTTGCTACTCTGGTTTAAAAATCTGGACACGATTCACTAAAAGTCGACCTTCTGGAGTCGAAATCTTGTAGAAGAACTTGATTGGTCGCAAACTACAATTAGAATTAATTAGCTCTGTTGGTCTTTTTAAAAAAATCCCGATTTTCGAGGTAACTATGAAACGCAAAATATTTAAAGAGCTGCAACCAATCAGCGATTGCGATCTTATCTCAAATACAATGCATTGCTCCCTTAATTCAAGCCAGTCCCAAATTACTCCTTTCTGATTTGTCAATAATCGGCCAATCAGAACAAGAGTTGTGCCAAGTTGAGCATGATTGGTTAGTTGTGTTTGGTATGAGTTCAAGATAACCTAGCGACTTTTGATATACTGTCCGGTTTTCACCTGGTTCAAATACTAAAGGTTCAAATGTCACGCCAAGTCCTAATTGGTCAATTCTGAATCCAACTCACGAAACGCGAATCTGTGCTTCGCGGTGCACGCCTTTTGCAGTTATGATTACAACGGCTACGATGCATATATTGTCTCACTGTTTTTTAACTCTCAACTTGTTGCAGTGGCAGAACTTGGGAAAATTTTGTTCCATCCAACTGGTTTATGTCGGGCATAAAATAAGCGCAGTTTTCATAGTAATCGTGAGAATATTTCGTTTAACTCGCAAGGTTGATGGTGTGAATGCGTCAAAAAAGACGATAATATCGTTAATTGACCATCTGCTGAGTTGCTCAAAAAAGGCGGGTAAATCTTCGTGACCAGTCTGTATATTAATTAAATTCAGTGTATTAAATGTCTCACTGTTGAATTGCCTAAATTGCATTTCTGCGGCCATGTGGCTGTCAACATTAATCGGAGAACATTAGTTCTCTGTTGGCTTCTGATTGGGTTTGTTCTCTGATCTTATTTTGGCGTTCCCCGTGTAGCCAATCAATTTGCTTTTATAAATTTACTATCTTAACAATGAAAGTTGTAAATATCGATTTCACCAATAAAGAATCAAACGATTTACTGATTTTAAATGCAGCAAATTCACCTCTATTAATTAATAACGCCCTCTCCTTCATTTCCTGCAACATGATTTGGGAAAGCAGCATTCCCACACGATAAAGTAGATTCTCAGCACGACCCAGATTAGCTTGTCGAATATTTTGGACAGTCACACAAGAGCTTGGATTAGTAAACCGGAATGTGGCCGTTTGTTTACTATTGGACTGCAGCGGTTGAGTCATTTTGAAGATACGTTTTTTGTGTGAAATCGGCGCAGTAGACGCATTAATTTGAGTTTGATGTGTAGCACGCACACACTTTTTTATTTGTGCCGATTCACTTTAAAATTCGACGTTGGAAAGTGGAAGAACAACTCCCGGAACTCCAAATTGTTGTTTTAATTCATGTCGGTCTTAAATTAGACTACTTCAACAAGCTGACGTTAAGCACACCAATTGCAAATAGTTTTGGAAATCCGTGAAAGAATGAAACTCTTTCCTGGAAATTTGCAGTTCGCTCGCAGTCGGTGAAAGCGACACCGCCGAAGAGCAGAAACACTCAACCTCCACCACGACCTCTGACAAGGCCGAGGTTACCGGAGGAACGCGGAGGTCGCGCGGAGGTCACTGAATTGCCCCCGTTCCCGACGAATCTCCCACCAGCAGATCCCAACTCCTCAACCCTACGTCAAGATGTCTTTCGTGTTACCGTCTACGTCTTCCACTCAAGCCTCCTTGTTGTGTCCTACGTGGCGTGGGCGGCGATCCTGATTCTGCTGCTGCCAGCCATCGGCATTTCTTACTGTCTCCGCCAACTCGGTCTCTTATTGGCCCAGCATCGGAGGCCGGCGCTGGTCGATACCCTGTCTTCCCTCTCGCTGCAGTACCTAGAAGGGAAGGAGGCGTCGACGTCTGCGGTCACGGTGGTCGCCATCTACCTCGGCAGTCCAGGGATCAAAATCGCGGCGTTGAAGCGTCTCCTCGCCGAACGGATTCTCTCGAAGTCCTCGGTGGTTCCGAGTTCACGACGTCCTGCCGGGCGATGGTTTGCTGAGAGGCTCCAGCAAAAAATCGTCGAACTGCCGACGGGCTACGCATGGCAGCGTTGCACCGCTGTAAACATCGACGATCACGTCGCACCCGCCTACCTCGTTGGACAGAATCGGCCCACCTACGGCAGACGCTTGTCACCGAAGAAGTGCGTTGACGAGGAGGGCATGGTAGAAGTGGAGAAGGATCCTGTTGAGATTTTGATTGGTCAACTCTCTACTGTTGCCTTGCCGACTGACAAACCACTATGGCAAGTCCATCTAGTGGAGGATTACTACGATTCGGTAAGTACAAAAATGCAATTATTGCCTCAATAGCAGCTAAACTTGTAAACTTACCGTCCAGTTGGTGTCTTGCTACCTTTATTCCGATTTGATCACCAATTTGCATTGACTTTGCGTCCAGTGGAGTCAGATGTTTACGGAAAAACTTCAGCTAGTCGTAATCTGTAAGACCGCCGAATTCCGAGCGGTTAATAAGGCTTGATCGATTTTCGCATAAACAGAAAGATGCCTTAACTGTTCTACGAATGGAGTCACCATTCTCACCAACGACCTGGAGGAACCAGGATAACCTGGCTCCCTGGTCGAGCCGTAGACCTTCACAGTCGCCGTCGGATAGCGTTAGCATCGCCTCGGTGGATCGTCCAATGACACGCACGGCCAGCGGCTTCAAGCGGCCCCACCACCAGTCCTCCACCGCCTCCATCTGCAGCATCCGCAGTCACACTGGAGGTGGCAGGCTGGTCACTGGCCCCCCGCAAACCGGCAGTCTCATCATCTTCAGGGTCCACTCGGCCATTACTGATGATGCTCAAAGCCTTGTCGAGTTCATTACCATCCTCCTATCAGAGGGCGCGGTCGTCGAAACTAAGGCGAATACTCAACCGCAGGCGCAAGCTTCCAGCCAATCAGATTTGCGTGAGTCCTTCTCTGTCTACCGTATGTCCCTTGTTTTGACACAATATCCGCTTTAAAAAAAAATATTTAAAAATATTTAAAAGCGAGGTAATACACTACCATCCACCCGTCTATTTTCCCTATTTTTAAGCGGATGTGCATGATACATCCCCATGACATGGTGCAGTCTCCCAGTGTTGGAAAAAGAACGCAGTGTGTTCACAAAAGGGAGTGTTATGATGGTGAGGGATGACTAATAGACGCACACACACACACACCGGAGATTCTATTTTCATCCTCTTCGCTAACATGTGTGTAAGTGCCGGATGGGTTGCATTTGCACGGGTGTTTGTGAGCCTATCATAACACAGGGTTCGTGGTTTTAAATCATTGGGCAAGTTGACCACTACCTCGGCGGCTTCAACGGCCTCTCACCTAATCGCCATTCAATGTGAATTTTTTGGTTCGCAAACATGCCACAAGTCCGAAATGAGGGCACCTAAAGGTTTTCCCTCTGTTTTTAAGACCAGTTTGACAGATTTATTGGTCCGCTTGATTTTTAATTCATGTAAAATGTTTTCCTCTGCGTGTATCAAATGTTTTATGGCCCAGCTAAGGTCAAGCCAGTTGGCGCTATAACATGACCTCAAACAGTCACAATTATCTGTGCACTTTCTGCTTCCTAGAGGCATTAATAAAAAAAAATTTTTTCAGTTTAACTTTGTAGTAGGACATTTGCCTTAACTCACAGTTTTATTCAATAGAATTGAAATTAGTTGAGACCTCATTTTACCTACTTTGAGTAAATATAGCCCGGCTTCGGACTGGAAGGAGACTGAATTTACGTTAAAAAAACAAATCTGGGCCAGATTTTGGATTCCATGTGCGCTTTTCAGACAGCCATTACTTCGACGACGATTGCTAAATGTCAAGAACCCCCACCAAATTCCACATGTAACCTTCGGCGTCATCTTAATTTGTAGCATAGGTCGAGTCTTACTGAGGTTAATCTCTGCTGTACTGCATAGTTTTATTTCCTGAACACAAAACAGCAAGCAGTGCTCTGCTGACGGCGGTTTGACAGACGTCTCGTGCGGGATTGGTACGTTTGGTGTTTGGCCAATAACTGAGCAACTCAATTTGGCCAATGGGAAGTTAGTATGACCTTCAACAGCTCAAGACGTCGCTAGTAAATACTTGGCTGCTATCAACTGCGTCTAAAACATCACCGGATAAGATTTCCGGTCATTAGTTGCTAGATGTAATTTACGTGCGTGATTGTTTTCTGTCTTAGTCATTGCCACTACCGTATTTTCACAAAAATCTGTTTATATTAAATCAAGACATCTCGTTAACTCCTTTGTAGTCAATGGCAACGCTTTAGTAAACCAGCACATAAAGTTCGACATTCAACCTAAATGTGTATTTGTGCGTGCAATTTACCTGGGAGATTTCCACATTTACAGCTGCAACATTTTCGCAACATTCGCTCAGCTGCCAAATTCGACTACAAGACCCACGCCTCTGCAATCTTCTTCTTCGGTGTGACCTTCTGAACCGATGTGCAAGACGTGGCTGCTAGACACTTGCACAATTCAGCGTTTGAATAGAAACGCTGCTCTGAGGTATTCACAAACGCGACGAGTTACATCACTGGCATTTTCGGAAATGATTTCCGAATGTCGACGTAGCGTCCTTTGATGCGACAACAGCTACACATTAACACTGACGATTCCAGAAACTGCTACAACGTGATTCTTAATCTTGCTGGCCACTATGTCTTCTTGATCAGCTGCGTGTGTACAATTCTACTTGGATCAGCGATTATTTTGTACTGGTACCTCATGGGCAACGGTCGTGGATATGCTAACCGCGATTCATCGGAATGAAATTGGTAAATCTGTATCGAATTCGTGGTCAGCGTCATTGCATCTTTGCTAGTGCCTGAAAAGGGATCTAGCATCGCTACACATCGATACTTTTCAAGGTCCAACGATGCGGAATCAGTGCAAGAGCCGTGGATCTCCGATAAGCGATTCTGTAGGCTGGTTTAACCATGTCAATTTGACTTCAATATGGACTGCTAAGCGTTCAGGGGTAAACTGTTGCGCAGCTTGATTGTAAGAACTTTTTCTATTATCGCCTCCTTTCGACAATTTCCTTGTTGTTACTGGCTCCCGGTTTGGGGTTTGCCAATGTGCGTGTCTCCACCAATTACAATTCTGTTATTTGGTGCGTGCGTGCCCCCCAATGTGCGTGTGGTCACAAGGTCGTGGCCGGCTCGTTCGAAAAACCATCTAGTGTTGTAGTAGCAGTTGTGGCCGCATCTATTAGCGACACCCCCAACACTCAAATTTAGTGTTGGCATTCCAGAGACCAAATCGTAGAAGATCTTCAACTAGATCCAGCTTCATTAAATTATTGAGAATTTTATCCAATGAAAACTTCTGGGAGAGTCAAGGACATTCGAGATCTCAGTGAAGCGCAACTCAATGGTATCGCTGGTACACATTTCGCGGAATTTGATTGGTTCTTAGTAGAGGTCAGATAGGTAAAGCACTGATCCTCACTGTTGAATCTGCTGTATGGATCCATTCGTTGGTCGGTTACAATGGTTCAGACTTTGGCGAAGATTGTCTGCGAGTCAATGACTTTTATATTCTTTGAAAAAGAGTCCTCCCAGTGCTCAAGCGCCAGTTACGCTATCGATTTCTCATAGGGGCCTGATACGGATATGTCACTCGTGTGACTCTGGACTTCCTATGGGTTAGAAGATGCCTGAGGAGGCCGTGTTTGTTGAAACAACTTCCTAACGCGTTCTGAATGGACAGTTTTGTGTGCGATTCCATGATACACTTTGGCAGCGTGCGTGTGTGCGTGTGCGCACATGCAAGTCCACGTTTGTGCAACTGGCCAAGTGGCGACGGGTAGAAGGAAGTGGTAGAAGAAAACGACTATTTTTGGCATTCAACTTTGTATAATCCCAAATCGAGTGGGCACGAAGTAAACAGTGCCCTTCTATGCACGCGTCTCCAGCCACACACACACACACACGCACACCCACACGCAGAGCAAAGGAAAGAATTCATCATTTCGGTGTTGTTGCTGCTGTATTTCTCCGTTCGACTATGTGTTGGCCAATCTAGCATTATGAACGCGTTTTAGTGGGCTCGCAACCAAGTGCCTTATTGCGTCGTTGCTGGCGTCATACTACTAATTTCATTTAAGGCTTGGGTGGGGCCACTTGATTCACTGAAATAATCCCATTTTAGTATGTGGAAAGCCAAATAAATCTGCCACTACTGTCATTAAATTGGACTTCTTTGCTGTAGTGTGAAACCCTGCGTTGCTCGTGGAGTTAAAATTATCCCTGGAGCGACGAATTGCCATGGGAATAATTGTCAAAGACTATTGGCAGACGCTTGAATTTGATGGTTGACGCATTCAGCTACGGTTGCTCAAAGGTGACATCTCATTGGAGCACTACGAAGCCAAATACAAACCAATAATCGTAAAGATTCAGTACGTAAGTATCAGGTCCACTGCCCACGCAGTGATGTGGCTTCGTTGGAAGCCGAGCAGTGTTGGGAAATATAACTTTAACCTGAATTAAATTGTTGATTATTTGTTCTTGCATAAATTAGTGCTAATTTTCGCACAGTAGACCTCAAGCCCTACATTCAATTTTCCGTTCAATCAAACAATATCACAATTAATAGCCAACGCTTCTATGCCGTGACATTGTTTTTTTAATAGAGTTCAAGGAGTTTTCGCGAATTGGCGCAACTGCGTAGATACGAACAGTGCATTTTTCTAAAACAAGTCTCCCAAACTAAACAACGAAATGTACTTCTGTTGTGTTTTGTACGTAATAGCCAAACAGCAGTGGCTTTCCTAGTAAAAAATAATCAAACGACTGCTTGCGCTTCCTTTCAGTCACGTTAGACGTTGGTAAAGAAGACAAGCCCGAGGCAAGAAGGCCCACGTCGCTGTTCAAGGTGCGTCTTTCCGAATCGTCGTTGGAGTGGGACAGTTTCGGGGGCCTTCCTCTTACGCCGCCGCCGCCGTCGTCACCTGACTGGTCCAGCTCCCAATCCTTCCGCGCTCACTGCACACGCTTCTGTGAGTGGATCCGTGTGTTGAACGAGATCCGGCGTCAGGTGGTTAGAGCAATCTTTTTCGGTCCCTTCGTGGTGCTCCACAACCTCCTGCTGGTGAGTGCCGACCTCGGTTTGCTGCCGTCGCCTGCGCCTGCACCGCCAAGCGACTTCGAGGCGGCCACCTCGGTGTCAAGTTGCCAGGTTTTCCGACGGATTCAGCTGCCGTTGGAGAAGGTTCTACACATTCAAAATGTCACGCGAGCTACTCTCACGGAGATCTCTATGTGTCTACTTGCTGGTGCATTGCGAGCTTACCAACAGGTGGGTTGAATGAGAAATTTAATCGTAGCAATTAATTAGATGTGACCAAAATCCAACTTCTATTTCTCGAGAGTAGACTTCTGGTTTGACGAGCCCGCCTGACTTGCACGTCCGCGCGTGCAGTCAGACGCCGAACTTCGACCTTGGCGGCGAACGGCCGACTCAACCGACGTACGACCTTGAGATCGCAGACAGTGGTGGCGATGGTGATGAGTCGGAGCAGCAGGAAGCCCTCATCGCACTCTCCGACATCGCCAACGGTCCGCCAGCTCAATGTGTGTTCGCACCGATGCGCCTCCCCCTAAGTGCGGAGGGGATGCTTCCACGGTTATGGAACGTCCACCGACGCGTTCAGCTGTTGCGACGTTCAGCAGTGACGTTGACCCTAGCCTGGACCCGCGACCTCCTCCACCTCATCCTCCCTCACTGGTTTGCTCTCCGTGCTGACCACCTCTTGCTCAGCGGTGTCTCCAAGTGCAGCATCACCTACGCGGAGGTGTCTCTTGAAAGCAACAGCGAGGTGGAATCAGTAGACCGAAGAACGAAATCTGGTGAATCAAATTTTCCATCCCACGCAGGATTTGCTTTGTTTAAAATGAGTTCATAAAGCCCATTGGTTGCATTAAAGGTAGATTCAAGCGCTCCAGGAATCAGCACCAATCGCGTAGAGGCCAGAATTCGCCCAAAGTGGACATAACTCAGGCGCTTCGATTGGTAAACCGTCCAGGTTCACCACGGAAGCCAATAGATTTGGACAGCTGCCTAACCGAGCGAAACCTCGACTTGATCTACGTTGCGGGTGGCGTACCAATAGTGCGGATCGAGGCGTGGATCGCACACCACCGCAAGTCACAATCCTTGGATCAAACGACACCCAATCACAATGAGGCGAGCAGTGCGATGTGTCGCGACTTGTCCGTCGTCAGCTGTGTCTATGGCAGTCACGTGACCGTCGGACTGACAGCTAGCACACATCTAGACGGCCGGCCCGGGATTGGACTCATTCTAAACGCGATGCTCCAGCAGGCAAGCTGCCAGAACCACTCTGTTGGTTGACGTGTTGAACTAAATTGTCTGCTTTAACACCAAAAAAGTGGATTTTTCAGTATTGCTCCAACATAGTCGATTATCCGCGCATTCTTGGTAATAACATAGATGAGGATTCACAGTTGATTAGCTAAATATAGGTTGTGTGTTAGCGGAATCATGTGAAGGAAATATCGGATGAACAGCTGTTTTGGTGACTGAAATAGCGCCAAACTGTGGGCGTCATTTGCAAAGCCTAGGAGGGTGTTTTTTGGGGCGCATGGGCAAATAAAACCCAGGTGATAGGTAAACAGTTTGCCTATAGCCCTGGTCTTAATTACTAATTGAAATTTTTTTGTTCCAGCTAAATCAGCTCTACAGACTTCTAGACAGTCGCTTCCCAGCCAAACCGGTGATATATGCACCTTTGAGGCGTCCAAACTTCACCTCGGTATCAGGATCTGCCAACACTCGAATCAGAGTAGTCCAGAATTCCCCATCAGCCACAACACAGTCTCGAAATAACGCAGCACAACCTTCACCATCGGCATCTCACGAATATCGGAAGTCTGGAATTTTGGTAAGTAGCAAGCACCAAAATCACTAACTACTTAAATGTTTAAGTAACAATGACACAGAGTATTTAATTCAGGTGGAGGAGGAAGGGGCCCAATTTTTGAAGTACAACTTTCCACCAATCAGTACGGATCTACGACGGGCTTCCTTTGGCAGAGGCCAAAAGCGCCACAGTATTGGCGCGCCACAGCTTGAAGACACGCATAGAGATAGCTCAAAACCTTCGAAGTTGGTGCCAATTCTCAAGGCGACAAACGCCAACGTGGGAGAATTGACGCCGACGCAGAGTGACGACAATCTGGTGAAACGAAAGCGAATCGACGGGAGTCATGAAAATAGGCGAAAGGCCTTAGCTTCCTTCAAATGTGGCTCCAAATCAGGACTACAGCGTCGGTTCGGTCTTGCTGGAAAGGTCAGTCGGCCAAAAAGGCTCCACTGTTAATGCCTCGACTGGGATTTTAAAGACTGCGTAAGAACGTCATTTCTTAGGGAAAAAATTTATCGCGGAGTATCGTAGTCCCTTTAGATGCTTGGCATAAGAGTGTACTAGCGACACAATTGCGGTCGATTCTGTACTTGTCTAACGGAACACCGGCAGAAGAATGTGTATCCTAAGAGTGGCGCTAGATTGTGCAAGCAGCTTCAAATGAGTAACTGTTTATTTTAGTTCAAAAAGAAACCGGTGCAGCCCCCTCCACAAGTGCCCAGAAGGTCTCAGGTTCGCTTCGTTACCGAAGATGATTGACGGGACGACCGCTAGACCAATTCAGACGAAACGCATTCTTTTCGCTAGTTCCCCTAGACCACAGCTCTCCGCCCCGCAATTGAAAGACGAACAGACACTTTGTTACCCCGATCCACCATGCCTTTAGTTGTGACAAACTTTGTAAATAAATGCAATAATTTTGTTCGCCTTGTTGAAGTCCTTGTGGATTCCTTTCCGGTTGAAAGTGACGCCACGAAAGACCGACTAAACAAAGCCGCTGAAACATGACCGAAGATAAGTTCTCTTAAAGACGACGGTGGCCTTGCCCCATCGTCAAAACGCCGTAAATGATTTGCAAAAAGAGGGTTAAAGGCTTATTGCTGTTTTGGGGCATCGATGATACTAATGTGAACAACCACACGCTATCCTGCAGGCCATGTTAAAAAAACTCGAACAAACAAGACAGCAGCGGTGAGAGAAACCAGACTGACTGGACATACACAGAATTCAAAAAGGTAGAACACTCCTTTAACCAATCTAAGATTTGCTACACGAGTAAACAAGCTTACCAGCAAACGGAAGAGAAGTTTACAGGAATGGATTTATTTTATAACACGATGTGCTTAAAATTTGTACAAGCATTTCGTATGACAGTCGCCTATCTTCGCATCGGACCGCCGCGACCACGACCACGCGGGCCGCCTCTGCCTCTTCCACGAATAACAGCGCGACCGCGTCCGCGAGTCGACGACAGAGCTGAAGTGAACGAGGAGGAACAAGACGCATAGCACAACAAACAAAAGAATAAATACAGAACAGAATTCTGATTTATTAACGAAATTCCTACCATTTTCCTTGCGTTGCTTTCGTTTCGGGGGACCTTCGTCGATCAACAATGTGTCCAAGGGGAGCGTGTCGGGTAATATAAAATAGCGAATATTATTCCCTCGAACAGTCAGAGTATCCATGTTAACGGTTTCTTCGTTCTTCATAGTGAGCTTAACCGACCTCAAATGGGTGTTCATGGAAACGTCGACGCAAGCAATGGTACCATGGACTTGGGTACCGTTCTTGAGTTCGATGGTCACTGTCTCGTGATTCAGCTTCATCAGAAATCTACAGAAATTCACAAAATTCAAAATTTGTGTTCAGGAAAAAAATACCACCAACAATTCGACAACCAAGCTACTTAAAAAATAGCATACCTGACCAGCTTCATTTTCGCGTGATTTTAAAAACACCGCAACTTGTTTTAACTGTTGCTTCACTAATCCAAACGTACATTAAAAAACCAAATATTAAAAGCCAATTTAATTGCTGACTTTACATCCCCACATTTTTTAAAATTTTTTTCATACAATTATTGAAACAATTGACATTAAACAAATGCGCAGCTCGATTCAATCTCAGCTGGTCAAGATAACTTAAGTGAAAAGTCAAAATGCTTTATTTTGTAGATAGCGCAAGGTTGAGAATATATACTCTATCGATTTTAAAGCGCCTTCAAGATATGTTTTTACTTTTCAATTTATTAAATAACTGGATAATATTCTATGAATCATCAAAATTTTGAGTTTCCATATTAACAAAATAAACGAATTTGGGTAAATTCTATTCAATCTTATATGTCTGCGTACAAAATTTAAGGACATTGCGTACACTTTAATTGAAATTTGCATGCATTTGTGGAAAATAAAATAATCACCTTGCCGGTACACAGTGCTATATTTTTTGGATGGTTGATAATCGGCAAAATTATTTTCGCCGATCGATATTTTTTTCTAAATTATGGGTCTTACTGCCAATCAAATTCAAAAACATGGCTGAGAGGACTATGCAGTGTGAAAAAGGTTTTTTTGCATGTTTAAGCATTCACGAAATGTGTGGATGTTGCCTGAATGTGCAAACATAATCTTGTATAATGGGATGGTATTTAAGGCTTTTGATTTGCTGAAGTTTCTTTGGAATCCCTGTAATAATTTAAGTTTTTTGGTAGTTGAAATTTAGTACCTTTGAAAAGCCCACTTTTGAAATCGATTGCAAACCTAACCACTAAAATAATGCCTCGAAAATTTTGTTATTGGTAAAGTTCTGGTTCTTAATTCACACATCGCCCTATGAGAGACCGCCTTATGCCACTGAAAAATATTTACTATTTGATTAGTAACGGAATGGTTAATATCAACCAAATATCTAAATATTTAAATATTAGTTACTTGTGATCTTTTGCTTCATTAGGTCCTAAATCGAAGACTTCGCCGTAATTTGTTCCAGTAGGCATTTAAACTTGTACGTATTTCTGTCAGTATATCAGATTAACAAATGAATAAATAGTATTTAGAAGCTTAATCAATTTCTAATTTCGTTACGATTTATGCCTCCACTTTGCCTTGCACTAGTGAAACCACTAGTACTAGCCTACTTTTGAATTATCGTTTATATATGATCTTAATTTTATGACGTAAGATCGAGTTCTCGCTTATATATCTTTAGCTGATTAGTTAAATTTTTAATTTAGTTTAAGCGAATCAGCCAAAGGTCAAGCTCGTTATGACTAACATAGGAAATCGTGTGCTTAGTTAAAGCATTGGGGTTTGCTATTTAGATAACAGGAATAAAAATTGATTTGCTTTCAAAACATGCCAAATTTAAGCCGAAAAGAAGAATTAGAGCGTAAGAAGGCAAAACTTGCTGCGTTGCGAGAAGAACGACTTCAAAGAGAAGCTATTAGAAGAAACGAAGAGCACTCGACCACGTTTCCAACTATTTCTTCGTTGAACAACATAGATCCAGAACAAATATTGGGAGATCTTAGTGTTAGAACAGATGGAAAAGTGACTGCAAAACTGCTGGGAACGGAGTTATCCAAGTCACTTAGCACACCTACATTTTCAACAAAGTATGTTTCTCGCTCATTAGAATTTTTTCGTTGCAGAAAGCCGGACCGACGTCCCTTGAAACTAATATTATCTGAAATTTACGAGTGTTCAATCGATCCACAGTATGATGAAAAGTATTCAAAAGAATCCCAGACGGTCTCGGAAGTACCAAATGAATCTCCGTGTTAGTAACTCATGTCAATTGTTTATCTGTCTTGCTAGCTTTGGCTACAGACACCTGGCCAGAAACGCCTTCTCTTGTTACCGGACGCATTTCAAAGGGATTAGTAAGCCTAGAGTGGGACGATGAAATATTAGCAGGTATGGCATTAAAATTTTGCGTCATCATGGAACCAGCTTCTAATTTATATGCACTTTTTTTCAATTTTTTTAAAAATTTACACTTATAAAAGCGTTACAGTTATTGACAACGACGCACGAATTTTACCGCTGCTTATGCCTCTCTCAGAGACTATCTCTACAATAAAATTATGTTAAACTCGTGGAAATTTTTTTTTTACTAAGCGAGTGTTTATACACTGAACATATTGGTTTTTTGTTCCTCTTTATGGCGTCACCGAATTCTCAAAAAGAAGTTTTGGTAGTGAGTTTTGTATGTAAGGATATATCTAATCCACAACTACCCAAGAACTTATTTTATTTTGCTGTTGTCGACTTTCCTTTTGACAGTTTTGAATTTTGTGCTTTCCCTTGATTTAAGAGTATTTTCATAATTACAATATTTTGTGATGCCGTCTTAACTTGAATGTTCGCTCTTCAGGTTTTCGAAAGACCATATAATGCGCGAATGTTTTTGCTATTTGCCATATTTTCTGTCTGTATTACGGGTTTTTGCCATGCAAAATGTCCATGTTTATTTTTGTTTTCAAATTTAATGTCTTCAATCCCAAAATGAATTCATTAATGCCAAATAAGTCTTAAATTTGATAATCTTATGTATCCCCACTCCTGCTCTTTACCTGCAACAATTAAATTTTCTTAATCTCGATCAGTTACCCCACGAAGGCGACAAGCCACTTGACTTTAAAAAGGTATACCTTGAAATTCAAAAATCTTTACCGATTGCATCAAAACCGGGGCTAATATTATGAATCTATGGATCATTGGACTAATCGACCAGTTTAGCCATTCTACGTTATTTTTGTTTTCTACTTGAAATTATTTGCGTACATGAAAATGTGAATGTCTATAGCGTCAAATGTTTGGTTTTAACCACAAACATAAACTGCAGCTAGAAGACAACATTGAATGTTCCGCCGTTTAAATTTAATTGTGGTTACCTAGCGTGAAACCAATCGCGTTAGCGAGCGTCATGAGACCAAGATATTTGAGTCGTGTTCACACGTGCACGCAACGTGTGCTTTTTGTACCACGTAGCTTCGAACTAAGTGACAACTACGACTAAATTTACATAGGCTAAGGCCCACCTGGAAGGGTCATTGTGCTAATCAGAGTAAAGACTTGAGAATAATTGAAAGCTTTTCTACTTAGGCGATGAAGACGATCCACTTACGGAACACGAGGTGCCTCCGATTCCAAATCATCTAGAAGTTGACAAACATGTTCGGATACAGGACTTGCCAACACCAGCGCGTGGTCAGCGTAAGTATAGTCATCTGTCCTCCGTTTCAGTACTTAAATCTGCAAGTTTGTTTGTTTAGCTGCGCTCCGTGAGTTTCGTTCAAGCGTGTGTGCCATTGTGCCGTTTTGGCGGTGGCGCTAAAATCAATAATGCCCCTCAACAATCTTAGAGGTGCATTGTTCTAATAGTACGTCATCATCATTTTCACAAATAACAGCACACACGCGGGTAACCAAACCTCTCTCCATTTTTTGAAATTCCCATAATGTGAGTTTTGTCATAAAACCCAGCACCTCGTGGGCAATTTCGCACTTTTCAGCTAAAGAATTAACTGGTGAAGAGAAGGAGGAAATCGAGGCGTCTGAGGGTTTTCTGGAATTCATTACTCGGGCCTCGGCGCTTGTGGAGGATGCTCTGGAAATGGACGATCGCGACATCTTCTTTGATTACAGCGGAGCCGACGAAGAGGATGAGTGCGTTGTTGGACCGAAATTTCCCTTATTTTAGGGCTATAATTTGGGTTCTGCTCTTTCGTATTCATAAGCCATACTCGTTGCTGATTCTTGAGATCGAAACCTCCTAAGCCCTCATTTATCATTGCAATTCCTAATTGTGTTTTGTAATATTAAAAGGAAGCGTCTTTAGCCGGCGGAAATTAATTAATGGAGCTATATGTGGTGATTAAGACACATCTTGCTTCGTCCACGGAAATCTTGATATTAATCTACAGTGGATATTTGAAGTTAGCCTAGCGTAGCCCCACGACAACAGATTAAGCGTGACACTACTGTGTGACCTGTTAATAACCCTTTAGAGTAGCCAAGGCCCAGCAAATGTTGATTGAAGAACGCGTCTTCTTCCACCTCGATTGGACGCCTCGTCGCACCGTGACGGCTCTTGATTGGTCCACCGTCCACCCAGAAGCCGTCCTCGCTGCCTATTCGCAGCCAATCAGAGAAGAAGAATTTATCTTGAGTCCTGTCAGCTCCTTCCCTCCGCCCGATGGTGTCTGTCTGGTGTGGAATTTGAAGGCGAAGAAATGTGAGAGTGTGCTTACCTGCCAGACGCCAATCACTACGGCCATCTTTTCGGATTTCCATCCTAATTTGATTATCGGCGGGACATATGTGGGACAAATTGTCGTCTGGGACACTAGGTAAAACCATCTGAATATTTTTCTTGACAGTCTTGATGTATTAGTTGTTTTAATTGCGATTCTAATTAAGCGCTGATCACAATTTGCTCATTGGAGTCTATTTGACGTAGAGATAATGTATGAACATTCTGATTCGTTTTGTACGTTCACTGTTTAATATTCATCATAATATTAGAAATATTAGGATAACACGTTTACGTTGTCGAACTTCCCGATTCGTCTTCTATTTGCGGATTCGATGTGTCTACCCGGCTTGAAAAGTTAATTATTGTAAACATTAAATATGTACAAACATCTTGGTATTGCTGTGGGCCCCAGCATGTTGTCTTGAACCACGCCGAGGTCACTGAGTTGGATCTGGCCCGATGAAGAAGAAGACCGGAGAGGACTTGGACACAACCGTTTACTCCAGAGCTCAAACACGTTGGTGTCTTGTCGTGTGCGTTGTTTGCGCGTGTATTTGTAGCTTAGGTGTGTGAGTCACAAATGTGCTAACATCGGGACCTAGGTGCGAGGCTGGTCTAAGATAATCGTTTGCGCTAATGAGGTGGGTTTTGAGGTACCGCGCGGCTGATGACATTCCCTGATAAGGGGGACATTGTGTCGGAGTCTGGAGTGAACAGGAACGTCAAGCTTTTCCAAATGATATCTGTGAACTTTTGCACATATTTTGATCAATTTTAGGTTGAGAAATGTTACTCCCACTAGCGTAGCTAATTGCATCTCATGCAAACGAGGCACAAAACATAATTTTGCACTGTGCTTAATGTTTCAGTAATCTGCTTTGCTCGCTTTGTACCACTTTGATTTTGCTTTCTAACCAATCGAGATCCGACCTTGTGGGAGTTTTTCTGCTTCCATCGCACAACTACGAAAAAAATTATAAAGTGTTTGCTGAGAAAACACGCTTACTGACACTCCTCGCTGTCGTGTAGTACGACAGTTGACGTATGTTATCATAAATTACACATCACCAAACCATTCGTTTTGCACATTTCGACGATAGTTGCCTTCAAACTAAAATTGAGACTCAAGCTATAAAATGACACTCGTTGTTTTGCTTCTTTTGAAGAGTTAATCGACAAACTCCGGTTCAGCGAACCTCATTCGCTGGTGGATCAGGTCATTGTGAACCAATCAGAGAACTTGCTGTCACCGGCAGCCAAACTGCAAATAACCTGGTCAGTGTGAGCGCGGACGGCCGCCTGTGCGCGTGGAGCCTCGACATGTTTGCGACACCACTTCAGACGATGGAATTGGTCTACAAGCAGGCCAAGTCGGTCGCACCCACATCTGTTGCTTTCGCGCACGACTTCGACGACGGCTTTCTTGTTGGCGCCCAGGATGGATGCGTCTACGGCGGTTGCAGAACTGGGAGGTGGTTATCGGCATCTAGTATAAACATTGGCGTTGCTAGGCAACCGTGCTACGCTTAAATCTAACCGGTGGACTAATTTCGTGTGCACATGCTTCTAGGTTTTCATGCCCTAAGCTAGTTACGTTTTCGTTTTGCGACACATCAGTTGTACATACAAGGCCCTGTTACCTCATCACGTGGACCCATTGCCATTGGTCAATTGAGGTCATTGGTCACATGCGACTTGTCTCAACCGATTTCAAGCGGCAAGCATCAGAGCAACCAATCAAAATTGGGTTCATTTGCCTGAAATTCTTTGTGCATTCACTCAAGGCGCTACCTCAGTGTGCTCACTTAAACAACACGCCTTAGCATCCGTGCATTGATCGTTAAATAGATGATAACTTCAATTTTGTGAATATTGGATTATTTTTAACTGTCAAGTGCCAAATAAGGTTTGCAGATGTAGTCTCGAGCATATCCAATCACCTTTCTCACAAGGCGCAATTTCCATTGGTTCGGGTTTAGTGATCCAGGTGTAACCGAGCAGTATGAAGGCCACAGTGCCCCTATAACGACGATTACAATTCCGAATGCCAACGACCCTCTCAATGACACCTCCCTCTACCTAACCGCCTCGATGGACTGCACCGTGAAGCTGTGGTCTAGGGGAAAACCCGAGCCATTGGTGACTTTCGATGACCGCAACGAGTACTACCTCGACTCGGATTGGTCGCCCTACCATCCGGCGCTATTTGCAACCGTCGATCTTGGCGGTCATTTGGACATTTGGAATCTAAATATGAATAGCGAGGTGCGTGGTTAACCGACTTCCAAATTCATGAATCAATGCTTCTTACAAAGTACTTTCTACTTAAATAGTGATAGTAACAATTGATGCCGCAGACATTTAGTATCCCCATAGACGGGGAAGTAATGGTACACAGATTTTGGAAACCTGACCCTAGCAAACACAGCTTTTTGAAATATCTTCAAGGTGGGAAATGAAAATATAAGTGGCTGGTTTTTTTATTTATCGTTTTTTCTGCATTGAAGGTGCCAACAACATCTACAGTTCTGAGTGAAAATGCGATACCGAATTGTTGTAAATTTGAGACGAAAGGGTCCCACATCGCCGTGGGTGACGATGGCGGTAAAGTGCGGGTTTTTACTATTAACGATGTGAGTTAATATTGCCTTTCATCATTTAACCATTTAACCTGAGCCAATATAAATTAACCAGCTGCTAACGTAGACGAAGTGATAGGCAAGTAAATTTTTAAATGTGTGTACATATTCTTTTGCAACCTTTGAATTAATTTTTTTTCTCAAGAAAATTGCGGCCGCGCGGCCAGATGAATGGACAACGTTTGAACGCCAAATTCAACGTCTCAAACAAGCTGCAATTGGCGAACAAAATTCGGACACACTCATGCGAGGTTTAGTCTATTCAGACCTCTAAACTACACACTGCGCCATTCCACCGTGGATCTTTCAGTTCATCTTCTCTTTTATATACTATGGGATCTTTTATCGAGAGAAGGCTCAAATTGCATGTATTTTCCTTTGTACTTTCTAATATTTTAAACTACTTTGACCTTGGTGCCGGAATATCTGTTCAAAAACCAAAACAAATGTGCAGCTTTATAAAAATGTTTGAGAAAAGTTCGTGTCGTCTAATTGGCGCGTGATTTTGCTTGTATTTGGTTAATCGCAATGTTTGGGGGCATTTACCTTGCATTTGATATATATTTATTCATGAAAATGAAGTAGCTGAGGTGTACATGGAAGACTTCACGCACACGCCAGCATTAGTTTCTACTTTCGCTTTGTAGCCTGGTAGAAATATAGTAGTTGAGAACGTATCGGTTCCATTAAGGTATCCTTACATGAGTTAAGTAATGGAACTAATTCGACTTCTGCATTTAAAATAAATTTGTATTCGTTTGTGAATTTAGTACCGTAGAAAGGTGAAGGTGGAAGTGAAAAGTAGAGGAACCTCATTTTAAGTTGTTTCTTGTAGGGATCAAAAAGCTGTGAAAAAAATAAATCTGACTCTTTTGGTACCAACATAGTTCGAGTTAAGAAAACAATCATCTATCTGTAAAGCGTCAACTACAATGTCATATGATGCTCCAACCCACCTAGTAAGAGAAGCTTTCTTTTTCATAATAAAGACTAAATTCGTCACTAAGGTGACGTTGAGACAATCATGGATTAGAATAGTGTACGATCAAAAAGGCATATTTCGGTCACGTTTTCTGTCGCAAACCTGGATTTTTTCAACAAATGCACTCAATATTTCCTCAAATTCCGGATTATTTTCTGAAGATACGGTTGAATTAATAAGTTGCCTTGTTTGCCGTGAATTTGTATTTTCCTGAACTTATTTTTAGTGCTAATAATGAACAGAAATTTCAAATTATAAATTATAGAACCAAAACCTCTTAAAAGTCACCAATTTCGTAACATCAATCTATTAAAATATTACTAGGATCTGAACCAAATAAAATAATCAAGCAGCTTGCAGAACATGCGCTGCTTCTGTGGATACTTGGAGGTTTAAAGTGCATGCCCAATTGAAGTCATCGTTGATATTACTTAATAACTCTTGCTTTATAAAAAATAATGCACCACATTCCAACTCATGAATTCAAAATGCCTGCGATTGCTTTGTTAAGTTTATTAGAGAATCTGTGCCTTTTACGAAAAGGACGAACTGTATTGTAATTGGCCGAAATTGGTGAGGCTTTCTTGGCTTTTGAAAAGTGACCTCGGTGGACTTATGCTGCATTTTACATGCTCCACCTAAAATAGCTAACACCGTAAAAATTGTTAGTGATGGGTTATGAGTTTTTTTGTGTAACTTTGTCTTTATATAACAGTTTAAGGTTCTATATTTGCATCCCACAACTAAGCGAATTTGTTGTTGATAAATTTAATTTATATGTCTTTAGTCTTTTAGTTGGGTTGCTGTGCATGTTATACGATGTTTTGGTTTTTATTCAAATATTCTAAAGTCTTCTTCCGCTTAGCTGTAGCTCGATGCAACAGCTTTCTAAAATCTTGGTTTTTTGCTGTTTGCATCACTTAGATGGGCTTCTAGTTACCATTATCTGGTGGATCAGACCACATCAACCACAATATTAGATTTTACTGCTTAAATCCGATGTCGTCCTTAGTTCAAATTTAAGGGGTTTACTAAATCAATGAATTTTGTGCTTCCTTCACAACTATGAATGTAGATTTTCCAAACCAATGGTTGACGTTGACTACAAACGGGAACTCAGCTCCAGACGAGACCAAGTTGAGGATATCTTCGATTTTGAGGGCTGCAAGGTGGGCCGAGGAACATACGGTAGTGTATTTAAAGCAAAGCGAAAAGGCGGCAACGATAATCGTGAGTATGCACTGAAACAGATAGAAGGCACTGGTCTCTCAATGTCCTCCTGTCGGGAGATCGCAGTGAGTTTCTAACTTTTCTTTGTGCATTTTGACGTGATAAACTTTAGCTGCTCCGAGAACTTAAACACCGCAATGTGATGACACTTCACCGCGTCTTTCTAAACCACAGTAATCGAAAGATTTGGCTTCTTTTCGACTACGCGGAATACGACCTCTGGCACATCATCAAGTCCCATCGCACTTCGAAGGTCAATAAAACTACCTTTACGGTTTATCCGAACATGGTTAAAAGTCTCATGTACCAGATTCTCAACGGGTTGGATTATCTCCACAGCAATTGGGTGCTTCATCGAGATTTGGTTAGTTACTCCTAAAGTGCCATTGATCTCTATTCTCAAATCGACAATTATTATGTTGTGGGTTTAAACTTTTGATGTGTTTTTGAAGTCAGAATGCTTCCTACTCCACAATTTTGTTCTAATATTTGGTAGTTCTTTTAAATATGTCTTGGCCAATATGCCAAATAATTGGTTGATGCCTCGTTCCATTACCTCCTGTTAGAAACCGGCGAACATTGTCGTAATGGGTGAGGGCAACGAACGCGGGCGAGTCAAAATCGGTGACCTCGGATTTTCTCGACTGTTCTGCCAACCTTTGAAGCCCCTCGCTGACCTTGACCCCGTTGTGGTGACCTTTTGGTATCGGGCTCCGGAATTGCTGTTGGGCGCGCGTCATTACACCAAAGCCATCGACATCTGGGCGATTGGGTGCATCTTCGCGGAATTGCTCACCTACGAGCCGATTTTTCATTGTCGTCAGGAGGACATCAAAACCAGCACGCCCTACCACAAGGAGCAGTTGGAACGCATATTCCGAGTCATGGGATATCCGTCAGGTTCGTTTGTAAACCCCCTAGGATCTAGACAAACGTGTGCCACTTCTTTTCGTCTAAATCTCTTATCGATTTAAATCACCTTGACAACGCCTCCCCCTCTAGACGAGGCCTGGCCGGACATGCGCAAGATGCCTGACTATCCCCAGTTGATGCGGGATTCCATCAATAAGAAGACCTACGGCAAGTACTACCTAGAAGCATATCTCGAGGACAAGAAAGTCACCATGGGAAAATACGAGATCTCACTGGTGAGGCATGCATGTAATGCTGGCTAAATCTTGCACTTAATTTATGTAAACATAAACCTCCTTTTCTCGCAATTTCTGCTACTTTTTCTTTCACTTCTTGCATCCGGAAACCTCCAGCTACAATCGTTGCTCACAATGGATCCACTTCGACGGCCGTCGGCTGCCGAAGCGATGAACCATGATTACTTCAAAGTCGGAGAAAAACCCAACGACGAGTGAGTCCGACTTTGTTTGCGATTAAATCATGATAAATTTTAGAATACGCGTGGGTTCGCCGTTTTATTTCACCCCCGACGAACCTGGTTGGTCCTAAAGTTATCGTTTTGTTTTTTTCTGAAAACGTTCCACCAAGTGTGTTTGGTGGATTGCCGATACCCTACCCGAAACGCGAGTTCATAACGGATGATGACGCGGAGGATGGCAAGCAGCAGCAACAGGGCGCCTATGCTGGGGACAAGAATCACAAGCAGGCAGGGATTGGCGTCGCCGGACAGCAGCCGCAACAGCAGAAGCCCCCACAACAACCCGCGCCACAGCCACCTCCACAAGCGGCTGGAATGCATACGGTCCAGCACTACCCCACGTCGATGCACCAGCAGATTCCACCGCCGCCGCAGGCCAACATCGTCGTGACAGCGGCCTCCGGCCAACCACCACAGGTATGTTCTCCGCTGAAGCTCCATTTGGTCAACGATGAATCCATTTTGAACCGTAAACTCCTTGCTCCTGGAGCACAAAGCTCGGCACTAACTGTGTCAACGTGTAGCAGCACTGACATCGTTTCTCATTTGTGCCTAAACCTTTCACTGTCTAACGTTCCAACATCGTCGTCTCTGATTGGTTGAGCCGTTCGCTTGGGCCAGCGTGAGCCGAACATTGCTGTAAAATCTCTTGTTTAAGCAAGTGAATTCTGAAGGATCGATCATTTTCTAGGTGCCAAGTCAAATAACTTTTAGTTTCATTGTTAGTTATCTTTTTTGTGTTTCTGCTGGTAGTAGATATGTTCAAATATCGCCTAGGCATGACTTAGACTTGGTCTCATCTGCCGTAGCTCCACGATATCTCCAAAATACCGATCCCTTTGGCTAGGTGGTGATCTTAACCGGTTTCCTGTTACCAACGCAGTTTCACACCTCAAAGCATAAATCCCACCGCGTCTGGCAATTGCTTTTTTTAAGGTTGTACATCTCGACACCGAGTATAGCCTCTTCTGCTTGACAGCTGCTTAGTTTTGGTGTTTACTTCAAACAGCTGATTCCGACCCACCAAGAGCTGTTTGGAGGGCAGGTCTTCATCCAAGGAGGGTCCGTTTTGGGTTTCGTGCCCAGCGCACCTGGCTTCATCACACCCTTGCAGTACCAATTCCCCGTGGCCGTAAGACGCTCAAACCCGCAAAAGTGTTTCGTTCTGTGTGTTTTAATGCTTCCACGCTCGTTTTTAGTGTTCCCATTTTCTCCCGTGTTATTTGCCGTTATTGATGCACACTTGTGCCGGTGGTGGAGTAGTGACGAAGTGCACCCCTACGCAGACGACACATCGATGTGATCGTCATTGTAGGGTCGCCTGCTATGTGCGTGTTGTGTTGCATTTTTCTCTTTTTTCAGCCCTGCTGACCGTTCCTCTGGTTGAAAGCTGTTAACACAGGTTTATGTTGTCGGTTAACCATTACCTAACCAAAACCACAATGCTTTGCTTGACAAGTTCGATTATTGTTTGGTTTGTTGGTGTTTGCAAGAGGAGGAAACCGTGCCTTCATAGCTATCAATTCACTCACTTTGCCATGGCTGTGGTTGTATCTTTGTGAATCCCCGAGATTCGTATTTCGCGGACTGACTAGAGAGCAATTTGATAGGAATCACATCAGTCGAGATTGTCTATGGTGGCAACCACATTCACGTTGATGCCTTCATGCAAATTTTCACTCCACCGGTAACCACTACAAGAGTAACCACTGACGTCTGTGTTCTAGCACAATCTACGTTTCTTAGTTTATCGCTTGAAGTCCCCTTCGAATTACCTCGGCGATGCTCCACCGATCTCATTGCAAGACCACGTTCCAAGTGTTCCGTTGCATTCGTCTTGTGACAGCTTAATGAGCCTTGTAATTTCACTGAATCATCTTGCTTCTCAAAAACATCATTTTAGCACCCAAACATGCGAGGCTATCCCGGGGGAAATCTGCCACCCCAACAGCAGCATCCAAACTACCCTCGGTACCAGTGATTTTCCAAGAAACCACCGCCCTCCGAACGCACTGTACATATCCCCCGACCCCGCCTCACGCTATTAAGTTGTCAATGATTTATATGCTTATATGATGAATAAAATTGAACTACTACTAGAGCAAAGGCATCGGTGTTAAGAGCGTGTTGTGAATCATGTTTACTCAACCCCTTAATCCGATCGCACCGCCTCCGACACAGGGTTCCCCTTCTCGCAGCATGGCGCCAGCCGCGCGAATCCTCAACTCCCCTTCATTCACACGAATGCGTATCTTGGATTATCCTCACGCCTAGGTCTCGATGTTAGCGCATTTATGACTCACACTTCCGACGTATGTATACACACGCGCAAACCCAACACAATACGCAACGACACCAGTTTTGGTTGAGCTCTGAAGTAAACGATTGTGTCCCGTACTCTTCGGTCTTTTCCTTCATCGAGGGTATCAGGCAAGCGTAATCGGGCCAGAGTTAATTCCGTGGCCCCGGCGTGGTTCAAGACCACATGCTGGGACCCATAACAAGCAAATGAGTGCAAAAGAATAATCAGGTTCGGCATCTTTATGTTCAAAGGCTAGAAAGATAGCAAAGTGGTTTCGGCCTCCACATTTAAATTTAGTCCAACAAGTGCACGTAATTTACAATTATCTGCGAATGTATGCTTTAATTGCCACAAGGGCGTCGGTAAGATGCTTGATGGAAAGCGCCAACTGCTGGATGTCTTCAGGGCAGACACAGTTGTTCAGTTGCTGAGAGCAAAAAAGGATTTTGGCCTCTAGAACAGCAACTACCGCTTGCAGATCGGTGCAGGATTGAGACGAGGCTGTCGTGGACAATCTAAATGTTAGGATACAAAATGTAATTTTAATACCTTTGAGCATAACCAATAGTTTCGAAGTCTTTAGAAGGAGGCAGTCTTGGATAGATTTCACGATTTGGAGATGCCTTACAAGGCGGGGGAGAAGTAGCGAGAGGGGTAAGGCAAGTCGGAGGCGATCCATTTAGTATTGGTGATCGGCTTTTAGGTTGATTTTGACAAAACTCTGGCATTTTGTCAACTTCTGAACAGCCAACACAGTAGAGTTCTCCGTCCCTGTTCATTAACATAACGGCCTAAAATTGAACACATATTTCAGTCGAAAGATTCCATAAAAATTACACAGCCTAGTCGATGTTCAGCTCAATAAATAATCAAGGGCCCCTGAATGCGTAGTTGACGTTACATATAAACACTGCAGGTCTCTGAATTGGTAAATGCACATTAAAATTCGAAGGAACGATATCGCCGACTAGCACAATGACGAGAACGATACAAATTCCAATGCAAGCCAGCAAACCCTTAGATGTGCACTGGTATAAGTCAGGATACATAGCAAATAAAAATAGCCAAGAGATAACTTGCAAGACAAACGCACGTCGCAAACTGTGCAAGATTCCCCCAGCATACGCCATCCTTTCAAAAGATACTCTCCCATCAGGCTGGATACTTTGTCGGACCTACGACGTTGCCTATCTAATTCGGCGCGCCTTTCGCGAGACATCTTTGGCAGCTCGTCCTCGAACATCCTGGAAAAAACAAAATGACTTAGCGTCCTTTGCGCTTGTGTCATTCGAGCAGTAAAACAACGCCTAGTCAAAATCTGATTATAGGTATCAACTTAAATTAACCGAATTTCTGAACGAATTTTATACTTAGGTTAACATGATCCCATGTAATTTAATGTTAAATATAGCAATACGGCACTCAAGACAAATAAGATGGCCCTTTGCAAGTCAACTTATTCTCATTTATTATAAATAACGTTTTCGGAAGGAAAAAAAATGCATATTTCTAATTTTTACACTAACCACAATTAATCGAAGTGCGAGAGATTAGTGTAACAAGAAAATTCTGAACGACTATAAATTTCGTTATTCCTACGGTGGCGATTCACCAGTTGAAAATTCATCAATTTGCTGGTTTTATGCTAATATTAATCTTATTGACATTATTTTACATAAAATTGATGTAACGTTCCTTTCTTAAACACAATAAAAGTTATTACATTGCATAAATGCATTTACTAGCCTGCCTCTCTCTTTCGAGGTCACATTTAAAGGATTTGCTTGCCTGTCTAGTTGTCACTTTGGGCCCTCCACTTCAAGGCTAGAGTAGTTAACAGCTTCTTATTAACCCCAACAGAAGTGATCTGCTAGACATGGCTTGAGCTTGCCAGATTGGACTGTCAAACCTTGTCTCAGCTAACCCTCGAGACTACGAATTACGCAGGTGGCCTCTCTAAGAACAGAATCAATCATGTATGGCCCTTTACACAAGTGCTACAACTTCTTCACCTCTCCCACGACACTGAGCTAAACATACTTGAGATGCGGCTGTCTCAAAAAAAACGACAGCTTTGTCGTCGTAAGTCTGTTACACAATCGGACATTCAACTGCACGCGACCTCTCGTGGCAGACGTAACGCATGATCGAAGGTCAATTCAACAACGGTTAAGAGCGCACTTTGGTATACGGCAGACCCATACGCCAGCAGACACACTATTTAAGCCCATTGGTATCAAGATGCAACCGCAGAAGCATCTTGAGCGCCTGGTTTGTCCCCTCTGCCTGGTCATTGCCTTGTGTTTGACAGACAGTGATGCGGCGCCTGTGCACAACTAGCATGTCGCACAATTCCAGAAACAACAGGAAAGGAACGAATTTGCAACAGATACGGCTTCTGGAGAGGTAGTGCATTGTCCACTTGGTGAAATAGTCGACCATGATGAGGACCTAGCTGCCACGGGGTGGAGTGGCGCTCTGGCAGCACGAGGTGGCACATTCACTTCTACACAGTGGTACTTATTTGCACAAATGCTAGTAATACCATTGCGCATGACAGGCTACCGGTACCACCAACATGCAGCTTGATCATACTTTTAGGTCATTCAGAGAAAAAACCCTTGACTTGGTTAAGTTTCTGTTTTGACCAAGATTGGAGTTCCGAGTCAATTTGATATAAAAACACGAAATCACCACTATATGGCATGACGTTGAGGGCGCGAACTCGAGCGAATTTCAACTTTTATCTCAAAAACAAACCTAAAACCAATGATATCGAATTTTACTCGTTTCGCCCATCGTCATCGTCATCATCAGCCCCATTATTTCGATTCCTAGAAAACCATTCAAACTGAGCTGCGGGCTAAATGGTTCTGGAGACTTCTGCGGGACAGGCACAAATGGGTCTAGGTGGTGGGGACTGTAGGAAAACGAGGCCGGTCCTGTACCGAAGCCAAAGGCATCAACAGAAACTGCAAACGATGCATTGATGGTAGTGTCTCAATGACCCACGGACCAGCAATACGGTGATTGGCTGGTGCACATTTACAGCGTCATTCTAAGGTAGCCTGAAAACCGTGAATGCTCACAGAAACCAACAAATGAACTTCGATGGGTCTCGAATACGCAAAAATGGGATAGGCTGGCAGAATTTTGTCAGATAGACCATGCTAAAATTCTGAGCAAATCAGTGGTAAAGCCAAAAACGC